TTGTAGGGTGAGGTTTGCACCCACTTATAAACTATGAATTGGCCTTATCTCTAGTCGATGTGGGACTTCCAACATTGCTCTAATACCATGTTAGAAGTGGACTTTAAGCCTAACTCAAAGCCCACAAAACCGGCTTGTAGGGTGAGGTTTGCACCCACTTATAAACTATGAATTGGCCTTATCTCTAGTCGATGTGGGACTTCCAACAATAACAAATCCATTTATATTAAAACCTTTTAATATTAAAACAATCGAGTCTCACTATTTTTAAACCACTACTGTTTCTAAAACAATTTTCTAGGTCTTTACAAAAACAAGTGTAAAATTGTACTACAAAATGTATATATGAAAAACAGATATCAAAATTAGTTACAGAAATATAGAAATAGAAAACAATTATCTATAGAAGTAGTTACCAAAACAATAAAGGTAAATTGTACAATGAAATGTGTATACAAGAAGCAGGTATCAGAATTGGTATCCTTTTTATCTATTAGCATAGATAACAAATTCATTTGTTGTGCTTGAGACATAGGGGTTCCATCATTTGACTTTCTATCATTTATTCCTACATGATATCTTGAGCCTAGTTGAATTTGTACCCTCTTGGTAGACCCATTGCTTATCGATGCCATTTTTTCTTCAAATAGCATGTTTCTTTCCAATTTTTGGTATCCTTTCTTTGTTGTGCCTTCTTTTTCCAGCCATTTTTTGCCATTTTCCACTGCCACTATCCATTGTCGTCATCTCCAGCTTTCCAACCAATGACCCCACATTAGAATCTCCCTACCCAAATGACCATTGTGCTGCCAAAGTTGGTGACACCATAAGGCCTCATACTCGCCTAGAAGCAAGCAACTTTTTTCTTTTGCCCTCACTGAAAGCCACCTGTGGTGGGGCATTTGGCATCGTTTCAGCCAACCTCACTAGTGCCAAACTCATTTGTGATAACCAAGTTTTTCTTAATATTGCCTCAAATCCAATATTCCACGAGAGAACCAAACATATTGAAATAGATTGTTTCTTCATTCATGAAGAGATTGTATTTGGAAATACTACTACTTAGTTTGTTAACTCCAATGATTAGTTGGAAGATATCTTTACCAAATCACTTTGGGGTCCTAAAATTAATTATATTTGTAACAAAGTTTGGTGCATATGCTAGCCTGAGGGGAGTGCTAGATGTATTTTACCATATGGACCTAGGCCTCTATGTAATACAATGTACATTCTATATATAGTAGGCTTTTTCGTGCTTGAGACACACAGGGATTCCATCATGTAGCTCTATCATTTATTCCTACAATTGTTCTTATAGCATATAGCTTGGTTAGTTGGCTTGTTAAAAAAATCAGTTTAATTTAGATGCCATCACTTGGTTGATAAGCTTTTATCCTGCTTTTCTTCAATAAATACTGTGTTTTAAGCATCTATTACTCTTTAACCATTCCCATTGGGTTTTGGGCAGGTTGGAAGAAATTTTGGACCCGAATTTCTGCTGAAGCTGTATCTTTCAGGGGCAGTTGTTGGAGCTTTTTTTTACTTAATACACCAGGCCTTTAAAGCGCAAACATCAAAGGTCCCATGATTACAATTTGAATGCAATGCCTCTTGAGCTATTCTATTATTCTCTTTCCTTTTTCAGAGCAAATAAATCAACAAAAGAATTGATTTCTGCCTACTTCATAAACTACTTGAAATCACAACCTTTCCCAATATAATTTCTATATTTTACTTTCATTTTGATTTACGTACATGTAAGGTTGTAAGTTTTGAAACTCATGAAGTTAAAACTTTTCTTGAAATGTTTTGTGCATTTAATTTAGATCAAAATTCTATAAATGATTTTCCAATAAGTTGTTTTACTATATTATGCAATGGCAAATTGATAAACATATTTATGCCTAGGTGGTGATTACTAGCAAATAATTTCATCATATGAGCAAAAGTGAATACTTTATCTCTTATTGAATTTCAAAGTTTCTCTGCTTTCTGTTTGCAACAGGACTTGGCAGCTATGATTGCGACAAGGGAATTAGCATTGGTAAGCTTTTAGAAACTATATAATGGGTTCATCTTCTTTAAGGAATATAGGACGTGCTTTGTGCTTAAAGACGTTTTTGGTTTGACTTACCAGCTATGTTTTCATCGAATTATGTTTTACCTTTTACTTTTAAACTTTGTTGATTTCTTGAAATAATTTCTATTCAGAATCCAATAAAGAGGATATTGCTACATGGGTGCTAAGTAAGACTGGGCAGAAAAATTCTCTGGTTACATTCAATGTAGTTAATGATTTCTTTCCATCTCGTGCTCTACCCTTTTTTTAGTACATTATGGCATTCATCAATGTGTACGAGAGTTGGCATTTCGTACCAGCATTGATCTACTTTGTGTGTCCATTGCTCTCAATTGCGTTCTCCCAGTTGAAGGAAATGTCATTTTTAATGTTCTCTTAAATCTTAAATTGTTCCTATCATTATAACTAGAATATCAAGTTATTTAAGTATAGACATAGAAAATTACTGTTTTTGTATAGCTTAAGACATTAGTTAAAATCATTGCCTGTGATTAATTGAACTAGAACTTGGCAATCGTTAGGGGGCAAGTGGAGCTGTGAATGCTATTATGCTACTTGACATATTTCTCTTTCCAAAAGCAACCCTCTACCTCGACTTCTTTATACCAGTTCCTGCGATCTTGCTGGTATGTTCTTCTCAACCTTTTATCATGTTAAGCCAAAATTGTGAAGTTTATGATGCAGATACTTACATATCCTTTTCTTGTCTTATGATTTCTTGTTAATTAAGGGCATCTTTTTTATTGGGAGAGATATGCTCAGGATACTAGAGGTATGGTGAACTCCAAGGCTTACTCTCGCTCATAATATTTTCGATCTTGAGTATTTTTGTTGTAGAGATGATCAAATGCTAGAGTTGTAACTAGTTCAATGACATCAGCATAATTTTTGCAGAATAAGTCACTAGGATTGGGTTGGTGCCTTAGTTGTAATGGCTTTGGGTAGTTTAGACGAGATTCACGGCTCTAAACTTATTGTCACTATTCTACTAAAAAGTACAATTTGTTTCAAGATTGAATAAGTGTTGTCCTGTCTATGGTAGACAAGTAGGTCTTTTTGTTACAATCTAGTTGCCTTAACATAATGGTTAATCACAAATAGCCAAGCCAATTAAGGTTTAGAAACAATGAAAAAATAGCCTTATACATATATATCATACAAATGATGTTTAACTCCTAATGCGATAGTTTTAAACTATGAATTGTCAAAACAACTTCATCATCAGTCACATGTTGGTCATTGGGTTGATCATAAACCTAATTCTTAGGAGTATTTACAATGAGATCCCGTGTGATGTACTCTCCTCACTGGTTTTCTTTGAGCACGTCCAAACCATTTTAATGAATTTTCTTTGATCATGGTTTCCCAAGAAGCTGCCATGTTAATATCATTTTTTAGTTTGTCCTTTCTTGTGTAACCACACATATTTTTTAACACTATCTAAAGCTGATACTTTAAAAACCCATTGCACATAAGTAATCACATGATATTATTTGAACTACAGTTGTCGTTTATCAATTATGGCAGAATACTAAAGAGTGTTGTTGATTGTCAAATTGCAGGGAGACAGTCGAGTATCAGGATCTGTTCATTTGGGGGGTGCTGTGGTTGCAGCCATAGCTTGGGCAGGTGTTCGGAAAGGAAGATTCTAAATCCCTTTTCAAAACTTGCAAAACTGTGTGTATCTTTCCTTTCAGGTTTACTACTTTTCTTTTCAGGTTTGAATGATATATTATTAATGTTAAACACTTTAGTCTTCTAAACTGAAAAAGAGAATGTTATCCCATTCATCATCATCCAAAGAAACATGTTTCCTCCTCAATATTTTTGCCTACGTTAGACATTTAAATTTACATTCTTTAACTAAAGTAGTTTTTAGGGTTATTCACGTAGTTGTTTCTCTTATATCAAGTTTTGAATTTGATTTTTTTTTTAAATGTTATCCTTACTTTTAATTCCAATTTGATTTCAAAATTAAATTTTGATATTATCATATTGATGGTATTTTATTTTCATTTTAGATGAGTTAAATAATCATCTTAATTAATTTAATTACAAACCAATTAATTTTGATATTTATTAACAAAAGTATCAAATAATTTGATTTTTAATTTTGTTCTCTCTTTAAATATGTTTAATGTAATATTGTAAAACATTGATTAGTCATTATTAAACAATACCGCTTTTCATTAATTGCAATTTAATTTTTTTAGAATTTAGTTAAATTTCAAAATTGTCAAAGGTGTCCAAAAATTGTCAATGGTTTTTCTTAAAACTATTTCTAGGTTAGAGTTTTGAATAGATGATTTATCAATAAATGTAAGGTTGTGTGACGAAGAAAAATGGGTTTTGGTCTACATTAAACTTTAAAAGTTTAATCCACTTTTAAGAGCTTTTGATCGGACTATTAGATTTTAAAATTTCAAATTCTAGAATTAAATATTAATTTTATATTTGGATTAGAATTGAAATAAAAGGAAATAAAATAAAAAACGTGTTATTTTAATTAATAGAAATAAAATGAAAGAAATGAAAAAAAAATCCTTTCAGTTCTTTAGATGAGTGAAAACGTAGAAAATAATAAATAAGCCCATAAAAAATATTCTCGTACTAATTAAAAATAATTTTTTACCCAACTATTTTTTCTTAACATAAGATTATTTATTATTTTTAATGATACTTTATCCTGAAAAAAAACTTATTTATAAGAGTATAAAATAAATTGTGCAAAAGTAAATAAACATTTACATATTTCACTCTTAGTAAAAAAAATATTGTAAATGTAAAAAAAAATAATTATGTTAGTTTTGATTGAATTTGGAAATACTCGTGTTAAAAAGAAAATTAAGAAATCAACCAAATAAAAAAAAAATAACAACAATGTTTTCCTATATTCCTTCGTGTTTGTTCCTGGCAAAGCCTAAACCTTATCCCTCCAAAACCCCAATTTTCCTCTGCACCAAGCAATTATCTTTCATCTTCCAACTTCAAATTCACTCTCACCTCCTTCTTCCTCTTCTCCTTCTTCTCTTCACTCTGCACCCTCTCTCAGAGCAGCGACATGTTCACTTCTTCAACCCCCACTTCCCTCCGCACCCCAATCCTTCATCACCCACTTCCCTCCTCACCCTTCCGTACCAACTTCTCCCCTCTCACCCTCCCACCTTTCCACCGCACCCTCTCCTTCCTTCCCCCTCCGCCGCTCCTCCCGGCGGTGCCCGCCATCTCGACCGCCGCGAAGGCGGACAAGTCCGGCGAGCAGAAGTGGGTCCACGAGGGCCTTATCATGGAGTCCCTCCCCAACGGCATGTTCCGTGTTCGCCTCGACAACGAGGACCTCATCCTTGGCTACATCTCCGGCAAAATCCGAAAAAATTACGTTCGAATCCTCCCCGGTGACAGGGTTAAGGTGGAGGTCAGCCGCTACGACTCCTCCAAAGGACGCATCGTTTATAGGCTTCGCTCCAGCACCCCCTCCTAATACACCCACAACCTGTTTCAAAAATTCACCAACACAACGAGTACGCATAGTCATTGCTGTATAAAAAAGTTGCAAAAAAGAAAATAATGATAATGCTTCGTTCTGTGATTTGCTGCTATTAATTTCGTTTTAGTTTCTTCTTTTGAGTCACTCTTGTCTTGTTGGTTGTCATTATAGTGGGCAGTATTTTCGATTCCCAATCCTTGATGCTGCGGGAAATTACAGAAAATTACAGACCAATGTGATAACATTGTGGAGGCCCCGAAAACACTGTCAGTGCCATAAGATATTGCGGTTCCAGACCCTTTTTTTTAACCTCCAGTGATATGTTTGTGGTGAAATTGGGTTTCTTTGCATTAATTGAAGCTTCTGTTTTAGTGTTTAAAACCGTAAAGGTTAATCATTTTAGTCTATATCATCGTTTTAGCTTCTGACTTGGAAAAGGTTCATTCGTTGTTACAAGATTTTCTGATAGGAGGCAATATGTAAAACTTTAAGTTAGTTTGTTAGCTACCCTTAGCTTCGTTTTCTGATTATGCTGCACTTCAATTCAAATCTTTATTAGGTGAATTAGTGAGAGGAGATTTCAGTAGTGTGCCTTGATAGAATGAAAAAGAAAAGGAAAAGGGATCTTTTGATGCAGAATTGCCTTGCCGAATGTGTAGCAGTACGGTGTACCTTTATGATAAACTTGAAAGGGTCAGTTTTTCTTCTACTGCCACCTTCGGTTTTTAATAAGTAGTACGATGTAAAAGAGGTTTTGCGAATTTATATTGACATAAAGAGGAAGAGCAGCTATGTGTGGTTTTCTTGAGAACTGAATATGTAAGTACCCTTATCCAATGATCTATATAAATCAGGAAGCATACAATTTATTATTGCTACGTGCATCAACTCTTTACCTTTTCCAATTTTGGCTCAGAAACATAAAAAACATGTGAATCATTCAGTGTATGCATTAAATTTCAACCTTTGAAGAAAACCAGCATGAAAAATATGTAACAGTTAATAAATTTAGAGCTTGCCAAGACAACCGATATTACCCAAACTGCACTTAGATACAGGCTAAATGAGCATAAGAGAATCTTCATCGAGTGCATAGTTCATAGTTCAGAGCTCTGACTTTTGAAACACGAGAATAAGAGAAACAGTGAGTTTGATAAGAATATATTTTCAGAGAAATGTTCATCATAAAAGTTGCTAAAATTACTGGTACATGAGAGTGTGGTTCGGCAGGTTTATATTCAGTAGAGTTGAAGTGAAGCTCAAGTCAAAATTAGTAAGCACCTATACAAAACAGAGTTGGCTTCTGTAGCACAAATTGCTATGTGGAAAACTCTGGTTTTAAAAGTGCAAGTCTGGTCTTTTTGAACTCATAGAAAAAGATTTTTGTTGGTATTTTATAAGAAAGCATAATTCTTTTAACAGGGAAGGGGACAATAATGAACAGAAACTAATAGGAAAAAATATTGAAGAAGGATGAAAACTTGTTTTATTAAATTAGAAAATATTACAATTTATAAAACTTTAAAAAAAATGCATTCCTTCAAACTAGGAAAATAATTACAATTAAAAAATAAAATAAAATAAAAACAGAATTAAAAAGTGGAAGAACATGTTTCCTTTAAGTATTTTTCTAACAATTTTATAACGAATGTTGTTCATTCTTTTATATCATTGTCCGCAGTGTATGTGCCAGACGTCACTTCCTTGACTGTAATTTCTAATATTGGATTGTTGAAAACTTAGCAGAAGGAAAAATCTTCAATCTTCAATTGGATAATAGGTAGACCTAACTCATTGATCATGGATAAAAACAGAAAGAAAAATAACAGAAAAGTTGAAAGATTATTTTTCTTTCTAAATAATAATAATACACTCCCACAGCAAGAATAAGAATCATTAGTCATCCTTATTGTAATTTCAAAATAATTATTACAAAAAATTAAACATTTTCATATATAATCTTTTGTAGTTAAATGATAATTAATGTATCCGGCTTTATTCTTTATAGTTAGCCAAATAGTATGAATTAACTAAAATGTATATAAGTTTTGAAAGAAAAACTATAAAAATTAACAAATTTATATTAAGAAAACAGACACATATTGTATTAATATAATTTCTTTTATAAAAGGTAGAAGTATAAAAACAATTTCAAAATCTAAATTAATAATAATAATTATTACCATTACTATTAAACGTATCAAAACATATATTGTTAAATTATTATCAAATCAAATATAATAATAAGTTCTTAATATCTTATCCATGATTCTCACGCAATTTAACCCTTTGGATTTTCTTAAACAAAACCTTTTCTTTATAAACTTATACCGAAACCTATATTTTAGAACTCTTTAACTGCATTTTCTATTTACTCATTATCATATATTAAAGAAAATTAAGGAAGAAAAAGGACGGCTACTTTTCGTGCCACGTTTCACAATGGAGATCCATCAGACGATAAAAAATTGTCCAAGTCTTACCCAAATACCCATCCGTCTTCAGATTCACCCCATCTCTCTAGTTATTTTTTTTACTGGCCTCGTACTTATCGGCCAAAACCACACTTTCTCTCTGATTTCTTTGATTTGACATTCTTTTTTCAAATTTTCCCCATTCGCAAGTATGTCATCTTCCTCTGTTTTGATTTTACCCTCGCCCTCACCCTCACCCCGTTTCTTCTTCCTCATATTTTCCAATTAAAAAAATCCGAAAAATCTCTCTTTTTTTTTTAAATTATATTTTATCGGGCTGGGGAGAAAAAATTGATTTCTCTGTATTGTCGAAAATGAGGTGGGAAAAGGTTGAGGGGAAGGCGATGGGCACAGAGGGTGGTGGAGGTGGAAGTGAGGTGTATGGGCCAGGGAAAAGGTGGGGTCACACCTGCAACGCCGTCAAAGGTGGGAGACTTGTCTATGTCTTCGGTGGATACGGCAAAGATAACTGTCAGACCAACCAAGTTCATGTCTTTGACACTGGTAACTGCCCCCACTCTTTTATTTAATTCTTCTTCTTCATGTCCCGATGCCATGATGTTTTTCTTGTTGGAATATGTTTTTTCGTTTTCATTTGATAGGTTGTGTGCAACTGAAAAATGGATACTTGTTTTGTATTCGATGTTGATATAGAGTGTATTATTTTATGTTATACTTTTCAGTTTTTTTTTATGCGTTTGTTGTTGTTCTAGGGCTCTCTCTGGCCGGCAAGATAATGTGAAAATAGTCTTGTATTGTTTATTTTCTGATTCCTCATTTGTGATTTGCAGTTAAGCAGACTTGGAGCCAACCCATTGTGAAAGGCTCCCCACCTACTCCTAGAGACAGCCACACTTGCACAGCCATTGGTGATAATCTGTTTGTGTTTGGGGGTACGGATGGGATGAACCCTCTCAAGGATTTGCACATATTGGACACTTGTGAGTCTTCTTTCTCATATCTAAATCATCCACCCATCTTTGTCTTCAAAAGCCATAATGTATGTTCTTTAGCTCAAGTTGAAACAATGGTCTATGTGTAATTAAGCCTGGAAAGACGTGGTCCCGGACCTTTGATGGATAATGACATTGAAATCTACTGTTTAAGTTAAATTCTGAGAATGTCATGCAGATATGTATTTATCTATTTACTATTTCACTCACTGAGGTTAAATCATTGTTAGCATTGCATACATGGGTTTCTCCCACCATAAGAGGAGAAGGGCCACCAGCACGTGAGGGTCATAGTGCAGCAGTTGTTGGAAAACGCCTATTCATCTTTGGTGGTTGTGGAAAATCTGCAGATAGTAATAATGAGGTCTACTACAATGATCTTTACATACTAAATACAGGTGACTTTCTCATATCATAATGCCGGTTATGGGACAAGTTAGTTCTTACATGATTTATTCCTCTTGATATTTAAATGAGACCTCGGTGAAAGTGTTAAAATTGCCTAGTGTTTCCAAGTTTGTTGATATTTTTTTTTGAAAAAACATGTCTGAACTTGGCACAATTGTATATTTCCTGCCTTGCTTTTGGAGGCTTGTCTTGATATCAGTTGAGAATGAAATGAGACAGCTCTTGTTTGACACCTCATAGAGAAGTAGGGGTTCCGACTGTGGAGCTTTTGATCATTTTGGTTGGTTTTCCATATATTTTCCTTCCCGTTTGCATTTGTATTGAAAATTCGTCTGTTACTTTTTGATTAATGACTACATATTAGTTATGCTGATAATTCCTTTGTAGAGACGTTTGTCTGGAAGTGTGCTACTACATCAGGCACTCCACCATCTCCTCGTGATAGCCACTCTTGTTCATCTTGGAAAAATAAAATTATTGTAATAGGAGGTGAAGATGGACATGATTATTACTTGTCCGATGTCCATATCCTTGATACTGGTATCGATCTGTTCCATCTTTTTCTTTCAATTTTACTGAATTGTAGTATCTGTATTACAAATATAAATGTACAATTAAGCGTGCAAATAAAGGATTTTTATTCAGAATATAATGATTTTCTTTGAAATGCCTGTAATTATTAGATACTTTAATCTGGAGAGAGCTGAGTACATCAGGCCAATTGTTGCCTCCTCGAGCTGGTCATTCAACTGTTTCTTTTGGCAAGAACTTGTTCATTTTTGGGGGATTTACAGATGCACAAAATCTCTATAATGACCTTTATATGCTTGATATTGGTATGTTCTTTATAGCCTATACAAAATTTTTTTTTTCAATTTTAAGATTTTGTATGTGTTGTACTGTGGTTTAACTCTTTAATTAAATAGAACCTTACTGTGAAGGCCATTGCTGTGACTTTTATAATTCTTACCTATTAAGTTGAGAATTTAGTCGTGATGGAGCAGCACTTCAAGTGACAGGTTGTTAACAAACTTATTTCTGCACATTTCGTAGGTGCAAAAAGCTTTCCACATTTCTTCAGAAAATATTCAACCATTTAGATGATGAGTGGTTGCGTTTGTCATTTTAGCTTATAAATTAATGTTGGGTCTTGCTCCAACTTTTCCCAAATTACTGTTTCAGTGACAATTATGTTATATATATATATGGTAATTTCTCAATTTTTAGAAAGACTTGTACTTAATTAATTAAGCAATTCCTATTTTCTGTTCTGAAATTACATGATTGTTTGTCTTTTTGATCAATGTTGATTAAGTTGGGATTCCTCATATAAACTTTCATTTCTTATTAACCATAGACACCGGCGCTTGGACAAATATTACATCTTCAACAAATGGTCCGTCTGCTAGATTTTCAGTGGCTGGTGACTGTTTAGACCCTTTTAAGGGGGGTGTTCTTGTGTTCATAGGTGGTTGTAATAAAAGTCTTGAGGCCCTGGATGATATGTATTACCTATATACAGGTTCAACAAAGTGTCATTTTTTGCCAGTATTAAATTTTATGACATAACCTTTGGTTCTGGTATTTCTATAGTATCTCTAACTAATTGTGATATATATCTTATTTTTAGGGATTGCTCGGGAAAGTGAACAGAGACCAGAGAAGTTATCTTTAAGGAAGCAATTGAAATTGAAGTGCCAAGAACAAAATCCCAATCCTAGCCAAAATCAAGTTCTAGCAAGATATGGTGTTGGTTCTGATATGGGCCAGATCATGTCAGTGTTGAACTATAGCCAGCAAAGTAAGAATTTTTGTTGTCTTTATACAAATTTCTGATTCATGGATAGTAAATTCTCATTTTTCTCTTAGAGTCCATTTGGTTGAGAGAAAAGAAAAAGAGTGGATGGAAATGAAATAAAGTGAGTGCAAACATGTTAGAATTAAAGTGAAAATTAAAGGTGTTTGGTTAAAAGTAGTGAACAATAAGGAAAAAGATAGAAAGATAAAGGAAAATTGGTGAGAAATAAATGTGAAATCAGTGCGTTCCACTATATTTCCGTTCAACCAAACAACCAATATTATTTTCACTCTTTCCATCTATTTCCATGCTATCTAACTGGGCAATAAAACCCTGTGGCTTTAAACTAAGATATATGGATAGATATAACCATGCCATACTGTACGTTTATAAGATGTTGATATGCATATTATATGGCTGGTTTCCTTTGCCTGAGTAGGATATACGATATATGGATAAATGGATTTGTTTTATTTTGTGCATATTATCACACCCATTTTCTACATTTTTTTAAAAATATATCATATGTACCCCTATCTGTATCTACCCACACAACTTTTAAACTTTTATCCTATCAATCTTAGTATGTGGGAGTGGGATTCAAAAAGTTCTTCAACGTTCTATTGGGGCTCACAGTTAAATATTAGTGTAGTTTGGCTAATTAAATTTAAGGCAGCAGGAATTGGTATTCCTCGTTGGACTCTCCGTGACATTCAATTAGTTAAGTTTCTGTTTGTGAAGATCTAGTTCTTGCATCTACTATGTATCAATCTCAGATATGGATTGTAGTTATGGCAATTAATAAGTCAGTGATGAATAAAAGAATGATTCCTTGAATAGTTTTTTATTTCCGATATTTATGAGCGAGGAGCACAAAAAAATTAAAATGATAATGACTATTTATATTTTATAGTACCACTCAGGGACAATTAAATATCCACTATCATAAATGCAGGTAGGCTAAATATCCCAGTAAACCAATCCCTACCTCCTGGAAAGAAAATGTTTGAAGCCAAGGTCACTGAAAACATCTCAGAAGGATATACTATTGAAACTGTTATTGATGGAAAGCCTCTTCGTGGAATACTGTTTTTAAACAAGCCAAATTCTCTGTACTCTTCTGCCCATACTCCCAGTAGGTATGTTTTCTAGAGTTCTTCCCCTCCCCAGTCTCTTTCACTTTCAATATGTTGCTAAATTAAGTTCCTTTTTTATATAAGTTTATTTAAACTTATGCTTATATCACAAAGCAGGAAAAGGACTCTTAGTGAGATTGATAGTGTTGTCTTGAATGGTATACACTCTAACCAATTAAAGACTCCTAAAGTACTCAAGCAAAATCAAATGGAAAACCAAGAAGCATTTTGTGGAGACAGTTCAGAATCTCATGAACACCGCACTGAATCCATTGCAGTGGTAATGTCAAGTAACCCAGTGACTGCCGATGCTTCTGATACCCATAAGGTGAAGTTGTTCTCTCTACTTCTGTTGTTTAGAATTATAGAGAAAGGCCCGAGTAATGATTCCTATATTTTTTCTCTAATTACACCTGTCAGAGATTGGCAATAGAATTCTCAGAAAAAACTGTTGTTGATGCAATTCATTTGATATATAAGTGGGACATCTGTACAATGATGATTTTTTCCTTGCCAATTTTCCACTGGTTAAAATATGTTCAATTTTATATATAATGTAAACTTTCCAGTGATAAACTGTTGTCAGTTTCGTAGTAATAGTTCGTTTGCTTAGATCCAATTGTGTACATGTTTGAAAGATCACCATCTTGTGTTGGGAAATGAGAAAATGAGTCTCATCAGATGATTTGATGTCAATCAAATAACTTTGTATCCTTGGAAACATTGGGGTGATATTTTTATAAAGTTTATTTTATATATAGTTATATCCATTACTATCTGCAGGTTTCTGCCAACCAAGAACCAGAAGCTGCTGCTTTGAATCAAAATGATGAAAAACATGAAACACCCATATCCTTAAGTGAAAACTTGAAAAAAGATGGTGCAAATGATGTGATATGTTCCAGAGATGAGGTGCAAACAAATGATCAAACAAATGTGCCAATTTCCAACTTTGAACTTACAAGACATGATACAAAATTTGATGCTCCAAATTACAACACTGAATTTCAGAAACCTGCTGCATCTGAGAGTGTTTTGTGCCTGTCAAATCAAGGTATGGAGTACTTTGTCCACTTAGTCTTTTTCATTAAATCACTTTTGTTTTGGGGGGTTAAATCATTAAGCTACTATTCCAAAAATTAAACTGTTAGATCTAACATACCATCTCATGCTACATGCCTGTCTGGGCCCAATTGTATTGGACTGATGGGAAGGGTTGAACATTTGCTTACATAATCAAAGGCTTTAAAGACTTGACCAACTCATGAACCAACTATCACTGAATCATAAGTTGTTACGTGAAGGCATATTTTCAGAGGTAGGGTTTCAAACTGGCTTGGATAGGGAACAAACATTTCCAGCTTGAATCCGGAGACCCCTGAGGGTCTGTTTTTACTTTAGCAAAGAAGGAAGTGTGTGGATTTGTGCTAATCGTGAGCATTTGGAACTGGTGATTTGCAGTGATTTCGTAAGAATGTTTAGTGGGCTTCACGGTCTAAATCATCATGTTATTTTGGTGAGTTGACTTGTGGTGAGTTGTCGAAGATGCAACACAATTTTGAAGAGTTTTTGTATGTATTATTTATTGATTATGGGATTATGGGCCCACCATAATCGACTGAGTGTTTTTTTTTTCTAATAATAAAAATAATAAAGAAATCATTAGTAACAGATAAAATCATATTACTTTCAATTCATTCTACCCCCTCTTTGGCATAAGGAGATATTATTTTGATGGTGGATGCATTTCTCTTTTTTTCACATGTGTTTTTGTATTACATAAATCCTGGAAACTCGGATTAAATATTCCATTGCGGTATGGAACGTGCCCATTTCCCTGAAAAAAATGCTCTTTTTGGTAGACTAGATGTTGATCGTGCATTTAAGGTATGTGTTGTATTGATATGCAACCACAAGTTTATCTATATTATTTTTGAGTTAAGATTTCAAAATAATTAATGTTAAAAGGGGGTATTATGTTGAGAAGGTAAGTATTATTTAAGAATACGCTAAAAAAGAATAGATTTCTGTTACCGAGGATTTTCTATTTTATTTTGATGTTATTTCTTTTTTCTTGTCAATGTTTATGCACCCTAATTCTTCAGTAAGATTAATTTTTCAATGACTGTTAGGTGCAGTGGTGGATTCCACAACTCCAACAACAGAATGCAGCGAAGCAGCGACATTAATTTGAACACATAAGATAATGGCTGGTGATAATTTTGTTTGCTAGGGATTTGTACATTCCTCTTCTCAAGGTGATCGTAGAGGTCAATATAACTGACTGGTGAAATAGGCTAACATGTTCCACTGGTGCTCATTGCCATCCTTTGGTCTGAACTTTTAATTGAACAAACCTTTATTACTTTTAGGTTTAGGTAGTCATAGAAGCAGTTCTATTTTACTGAGTTTCGTCATGCCTGCCTTCATTTATTGCATGGAAAGAAAATTTTGTTTCATTGGTGCCTGGGCATCAATATTATTTCCAAATGCAGCTTTACCTATTAAATTGCAAATCTCGAGAGTTACTCTATTGTTCTTTCTTCATCTTGTAGGACTCTTTCTTTTATCATATTTTTCTGAAGTTGAATTGAGACATTCGTGTCTCTGAGGTGTAATAAGCACCGTTATTTGTTGCTAATCTGGCGCCCTGTCCTTGTTGACCAAGTTTACTGCACTGAAGCAGCAAGTGGCATAGATGAGGATTTTCTGGGTAGATTAAAAGTGGGAAAACAGAAAACAGAATTCAGTGTGAAATTGGAAAGAAAAGGATGAATTATCTTGATGCTCAGTTTTAGCAAAATTCCAACCACACCATTATCCTTAAAAGAATGTTCATGAACATTTATCTACTTCATTAATAATTCCTCTCTTCCTATAACGTTTTATATTTTATTTTACCTAATTTTTTATTTATTTATACTTTGAAGGTCTCAAGTATAATTGTGGTGTCCACAAGTATTTGCTTTCTTTCCTTAAAGCTTGGGCCATGAATGGAAGGATGCTTCTTAGTGTTTGAGTCATAGCGTCTACCATACAAATTTCTATTTGTATATGCTTGCAACAATTGCAAAACATACCTTTCCTGTGCCCACATATTTGATCTGTTTTCATTGTTCAAGCAGCAACATGATGATCCAACAAGTAAATAAAAATCACGAGAAATCCCATATTAGAAGTGACACCGTACAGATCTCTCTGGCTTCTTCTACCAATCCTATTCACTAACTAAAAGCACACAATTAGACGGTGATTTTCTGTCTAATTTCTTGAACTTGACATGTGATACTAATTCAGAACTAATTTGCACCTCACATTTCAATAACCATATTGGGTTTCATCTAAATTTTGTTGACTATTATCAATGGATATTTACTTCAATATTATAAGATCTGTCATTAAATAATGGCGGACTTCACCCGTGACAAGGCAAGCATGTTATAATTGTTTCCCTGGTTGAAGTGGGTGTGTAGAGTGTAGAGATGAGTATTGGTGGAGCAAGGTCTTATAAGAAAGTTAATAAATGTTTGGTGGAAGATGGGGTCGAGATGATTATGATAGGTTAGCTGGTGTTTATGGACGTGGGGTTGGATTCATCTGCTCTCTCTTTATTTTTCTGTCACCATATTTACAATCACCGTCACTTTCAATTTCTCGACCCTACTCAATCAACTAGCACCGCAGATAAATCAATGCAATCTCTGTGATCATCTTATTGCCTGCGTGCACATACCATTAACTCATTCAATGTCTTTGGAAATGCGATCAACTTGTACAATCAAGTCAAATCAACAAAACTCGCTTAAATTATAGATGAACACATCTTTTCTTACTATCAAAACTATTCTTTTTTTACTACTTTTCCCAATTATCCCTCATTGTTCACCTTATTTGGTCACATAAAACCCATTTATTGTGAGACTAAAGGACGATAATTAATGTAAAGTCAAGGCTATAATTAATACAATTGGTCAAACCAACTCTTAAATTGACACGAAACACACAAAAATGTCCAGCATTCTACTCTGGTGTTTTTTTTCTTACTTTCTACCATAAAAGCTTCCTAACCACTGCATAAGTCATCACACCTATTTCATTGCAACTACAATATCAACCTGCATAAGTAAACCTTGTGACTTTCTACCATATTGTTACTTCTAAGCAATGGTGACCTCCACCATGTTTTACACTGGAGAATGTTTTACACTGGAGAAAGTTTATAAAGGTAAAAAATATTATAGAGAGGAAAAAGAGAGTGAAAATTAATGAATTAGTAAAAATATACAGTGAAGAAGAAACTGAAACTTATAAGGAGGATTTTGAAATAAAAGATGGAGAAAAAAGTACAGGTAAAGTTAATTTTCTCCTTTATATGAAATTAACATAGAGCAAGTTCGGTCTAAATATAAAGTATAATTAATTTTCAAAATAGTGAGAACTATTTTAATACTAAAAGATACTTAAAAGTATATATGTTCAAGATCTCATCTTAATTAATTATAATATTAATTTACAGTATATAAAAATATGTAAATTTTATTTTATAAATCAATTTTATATAATTAAATTAAATTTAAAAATGATTTTAACATCAAAGTTATTTAGAATTATACTAATAAAATTTATTGTTTATTAGTCTGTTATATTATTCATTATCAAATCAGGTATAAATATAAATACAGTGAGTTGTAGATTTAGAATGTAAATGGAGTGACTATTGAAATGGAAAGAAAGACAAAATAATGTTAATTTTGTGCTAATATGATATTATCTTTGACTTGACAGAACAAAAAACAAAAAAAAACATAATGGTTTCTCGCACTTTCATTTCTTGCTTGGTGCAACCTCGGAGCAAAAGGGGGTTTAATTTTTTCTTCATGATTGGAAAACTAACCTTTTGTCTTTTGAAAGATTAAGATTTGCATCAAACAACATTTGCTGACATACTTTGAAAGAAAGTCCAAGCTTTGGATCTTGGGAATAAATTACTACACCACAACTTTCAGAGTATATTTAATGAATATGATTAAAATATTATTGTGTTTATTACATATCAGTTCAGAATCCTACCAGCTCCATAATCAACCTAAAACATCACTCTCTTTTTAATTCACTCACTTAACATTTTGTCATTATGCTAAAACTCTCAATATCATAACTGCTTAATTGGATACTTGTGAGTAATTTTATAAGAATTTTACACTCAGTGGAGTGATATGTTTAGTGAATCTCGCTAAAACACAACATGATATTCCAAAACACTGTTTGGTTGAATTAAATATCAAAGTTTTAATAGTATTGTTTATAGGAGTGACAAATACATTTTTAAGAAAATACCTTTATCAGTATCTTAATCTAACTGTAAGATATAGCATTTAACTCTTTTTTTTTCCATCGAAAGATTTTTTTTTTCATGACATCAAATGTTTCTTCGAAATAAACTTTATAGGTTTTCACTAACAAATAAGATTACCAATATTGATATATGCAGGTGGAATGGTACACATTAGATCAACAACAAACACAATATCAGAAAGTTTAGTTTTTACATAATTGAATTAGTAAAAACTCATTATAGGACAAAAGTAATCTACACAAATAGAAAGATAGATTTTTTAACATGAAAATTTTCAATTAAATTTAAATTTACTTTTTTGAGCTAGTTCGAATCAAGTAATTTAAGACGGGTTGAAACATACAATTTGCTAAAAAAAGAAAAAAAAATATGTATTATGGAATTAAACTCGTTTTATATTTTTTTAAAATGTATTTAGTTGAAATTCTTTAAAAAATATATATCTTTTTTACGCAAATGGTCCCCCTAACCTAATTGGTCAGGAAAGAGAAATAAAAATGGCCAGTCGTATCTCAGTATGGAGGACAACTGAATTGACCCACTAAACTTTTCTCAATTTTGTTGTCTTTCTTACAATGAAAATGCTATATATAATATATAACCAAAACAAAAGACATGGACTTTCTGACCAGCTCTGACCAGATTGGGTGTCCATTTTCACCATTCTCTAATTGTTCTCTCAGGAGAAACATTAAGACCATCTTCTTGGATATGCAGAAATTCATTTGCACTGTATACTGAAACTAGTTCATTTAGTTGGTTCAAGCTATTGTGTGTGTATTTGTTCCACTGCGTTTTTTTTTCTGCAAATGTAAGGAGCATTGGCTCTTTTTAATTTGCCTGTTTCTTTATTTTTTGTAAAACCAATACCCAGAGGATATTACAAGTTCTAATTGAAAATTTTAGGAAAGACGGTACTGTCGGCAAGACTTACTCTATTTTGTAAGGAACCAAATCTATATTATTTGATGAAATCAATTAGAGAATATTTGGCATGAAATATTTACCGTAGCCCTGTAATTTAGAAATATTACTTTTTTTTATGTGTAGCTACGATGGAACTCAACCTCTTTGTGAATGCTGCATATGGAACTGCAAAACATAGACCTGGAGAATTGCTCCATTGACTTGTAGTTGTCTTATTAACTGTGTCTGTACTAAAGTTTAGTGAGCAAAGGGTTTAAGCCCAATGGATTGATTTTTCGGAAGGTAAGGACTAAGGACCCTTTGAGCTGTCTGAAATACTGATTCTGTGTTATACTTATTGTTGCTTAACTGACTCTGCAAGCTTCGTTTGCACTTGGTAGTGTTGGTAGATTTGGAGTACAAATCATGAAGCTCTTGAAGAGGGAGTAATTGTAATTGATTGTGGTAGTTGAGAGGTCGAGTTTAATTCGAGAAGAGGTAGATATGGCAGCAAAGTTCTTACATTCTTTAGCAGATGACAACCCAGATTTAAAAAAGCAGATAGGATGCATGACTGGGATTTTCCAACTCTTTGATCGTCATCACATTATTTCCTCTCCCCACATTACCCAGAAGAGGCATCATACAGGTAATCCTTTGGTAGTTGCTAGTCACGTGTTTCTATAAATTTATTTTATGTCAGCGTGGCTTTCATAAGTTGATCTTTTTTTTGTTTTCTTTCTGTTTTCCTTTCATCGGTTTCATATGTTTTATCACCAGTGCTGTTTCTTAATGGTTGATTTGTCACAAGGATACTAGTCTCATGTCGTAGTCTTGGGTTTCAACTCTTTTTTGTTTTGTTTGTCTTGGTCCCTTTGAACTTCATTCGATTCTTTGCACATATTACTAAATTAGGTCTCCATAAAATAATTAGCTCATGACCTTTGCACCACTCAGTGTTGGTTCCTGGCCTTGTTTATCTATTTCATTAGAGTGTTCGAATCTAACGTTTCTGTTTTTGTCTTAGGTTATTCCCTCTTCAATTATGACAGTCTGGAAACAGGTTCTAATATCATACACCAGCCGCAATCAACAGCTGTAAGAACCTTCCTTTACATGTTTCACAAATTGTATACCGTTTATGCTTCACAAGTTCTTGAATAATATTTCAATTTGAGGAATGGAAGTTACGCTACCAGATCAAATTTTTGGTCGAGTAAATTTGTACTATCTACTTGTGTCAGATGTAAAAAGGCTGAGAATTGGTTGTTATCTTCCTGAAAATCGTTTCAGCATTTGCTGATTAAGTTTAATTGAATGGAACTAAACTTAGGCCATTTCGTGAGTTTGTTGCAGGATATGAGGGGTATGAGTGATAAGCACAAAATTTCAGCTGAATCATCGAGAACCTCATTCTGTTCCTCTTGTTCATCATCCATGTCCTCTTTGGACTATAAAGCTGAAGCAGATGCTCCCTTTGACCGGATTGGTTTTCCTGAAACTCCTATGAGGGACCCAGTCATGAACCAAGCAAGTACCTCTCCCCATTTAGGATGTCCATCCCTTGATCTGAGGGATGTGGTGAAGGAATGTATATATAGGGAAGCCAGAGGACTGTGCAGAGAAAGGGATTCCCCTAGACAATTTCAGATGTCTAAATCTGTTGATAGAAAGCAAACTCCTATTGATCTAAAGGAGTCCTTGCGAGTCCTTGCTATACTTAGAGAAACACCTCGGCATTATGTTGAAGCTAAAGAACTTCCTAGACTATCAAATGAAGTAAAAGATGGACATTGGCATTCCATTTCAAAGGATGCTCCTCGGTTTTCTTATGATGGAAGAACAACATGTGAGGTATCTTTTGACTCGCATGATACCTTGAAATGCCCACAAAAGCTAAAAGAGCTTCCTAGACTTTCACTGGACAGTAGGGAAGGTTCATGGCGCTCAAACGGCTCTGATTCAAAACTCAGTAACCTCTCAAGAAATTCCAATACAGGTGACGCCTCCACCTCAGTTGACAACATTTCTAGTCTACAACAGCGTTCAGCATCTCAGAGACGGTCACCTGGTATTGTAGCAAAGTTAATGGGCTTGGAAGCATTGCCAGAGTCCTATGTGGCTTGTGATACCAAGTCAAGTTTGAGTGAAACTGACTCAAGTAAAGGTAATAATCAGTTTGGGAAAAATGGATTCGTTACACCACTTCCAGTTTCTAATTTCCCTGAATTCCCATTGAAAGAGAAAGAGATGACTTCCCCACGGTGGAAGAATCCTGATTTGGTTGTCAAACCAATATTGAGTACAAGGTTTCCCATTGAACCTGCACCATGGAAGCAGCCGGATGGGAACCTAAGCTCTGAGAAACTAACTTCCAGGGTCATAAAACCTACAGCAAGAACCCCGGATTCATTTCCTTCAGTTTATAGTGAGATTGAGAATAGATTAAAGGATCTTGAATTTAAACAATCTGGAAGGGATCTCAGAGCACTCAAACGGATATTAGAAACAATGCAAGTAAAGGGTCTATTAGAGAGCAGAAAAGAAGAACAAGCTTCAAATGTTGTTAGAAATAAAAGAGACTATGAACTAAAATCGACCTCAATTCAGCATTCTACGAGGCAGGAAACAGCCTGGGAATCTGATTCTGCAGTGGCTATAGAGTCACCAATAGTGATCATGAAACCAGCAAAAAATGTTGAAAAAAGTGGACCTTTTGCTTCTTCAGTCTTTCCATTTCATGAACTTTCTGATTCCGACAAACTTCAGAGTGATGGTGTACATGTACATGGTAAAAAAGGCACACCTTCCAGTCAAATAGCCAAAGACCGGTCTCCTAGAACAAGTCCCAAGGATGCTTCTACCAGTTTTAGCGAAAAGAAAGTGAATAGTATCAAGACTAGAAAATCAACACAATCCCTACCAAGGTCTACACAATTTCCAAAAGAAAATGGTCCAAGCTCAGTAAAGAGTTCAGAATCTGCTAGCCCAAGAATGCAGCAGAAGAAGTCAGCATCGGAGAAGCAATCTTGCCTTCTTACCTCATCATCAGATTCAAATAATCCCAGAAGGCAGTTCTGTAAGCAGACAACACACTCAGGTTCTCCCAGTCAAAAACTGAGACCTAAAGTCCCTAATTCACAGAGCAGTGATGACAGACTCAGTGAGACTAGCAATGAACAAAGAAGTTTAAGTAGCCAGTGGGATGAAGTATCTCTGCAATCAGACAGTATCTCTTTCGACTCAAAGATGGATGCTGAAGTTGTTGATAGCCAATGCCCATCTAGGAAGGCTGTTGAGCATTTGGTTTCAGGATCCATGCATAAGGTTAGAACTACGATGATCTCTTTTCATTCAATATTTCTGATTAGTTCAATGAGAACATTAAAACTTTTAGGAGTAATATATTCCAATTATCAGTCGATATCTAATTTTTACTAAATTTTGCAGAAATCAACTCCGAGGTGGGATGAGGATGAGTCAATTGCAGAACTTACAACACACGCCTCAGATCATCCAAGTCTCGGATCAGTTGTTGATGTCTCAGTATACAAATTCGGTATGCCATCCCCAGTAAAGAATATATCCTATTCTCGTAAAGGTAATATTTCTGTCTTCCAAATCACAATAAAAAAAACGGAGTTTTATAGTCAGATTAAAAAAGACAAATTCCTGGCTTTGTCAGTCAGTTCATCCTCAAGATTGATTACAACATTATGTTTAAAAGAAATTTTAGTCCTTTTCTACCTGAAATGCTACCTCCTGTAAGAGATTAGAAATCCTTTTCTTGTGATGCATTGACCATAACTAGAGTTGACCATGCTGATATCCTACAAAGACGTCAAAGTAATTTGTCACTTAGATATGATGATGATGCATAACTGTATTTGAGCCACTGATTTTTCTGGTTCGTAGCCATCCTTATTAAGTAACGTTCAAATTTTCTCAAAGGCAAGTGCGATGAGCATCACATTCAAGGTGTCTTAGGCTTTATGTTTTCTTCCTGGCATAATCTTAATTTTCTGATAAAATTGAAGCAAGTATTCACTAGAAAAGGAATTTTAATGTGTATATTTCACATGTAATAGTCTAATATAATTTGCAAGATTTGTACGTTCCTATAGACTATTTACCTATAAGCTCAAATTCTGCAGTTGAAAACGCTCAAGAATCTAAAGAAAATTATCATACAGATCAGTGGAGCCCTGCAGAAGGCCTCTTCCTTAACAATACAAGATATAGAGAGATCAACCACAAGAAATTGCAAAGCATAGGTCGCCTTATTGAAAAGCTTAGACAGCTAAACTCAAGTCACGATGAGACTAGAATCGATTACATAGCTTCCCTTTGTGAAAATACAAACTCAGACCACAGATACATTGCTGAGATACTATTGGCTTCAGGTCTACTTCTGAGAGCTTTGAGTTCTGAGCTGCTGACCTTTCAACATCACTCATCAGGTCATCCCATTAATCCTGAGTTATTCCTTGTGTTGGAACAAACCAAGTTAAGTAGTTTGCTTTCGAAAGAAGGGGGCAGCGATGGAAAAATTGCTTACAGGAAGCCAAATACGGAGAAGTGGCACAGGAAACTCATCTTTGATACTGTGAATGAGATTCTTCGTACAAAGCTAGGCTCTTCTCGTGAGCCATGGTTCAAGCCGGATGGACTTACAAGGAAATTCGTCACTGCACAGAAGCTTCTTAAAGAACTATGCTTTGAGATACAAAAACTTAAATATGTGAAACCAGATAGCAAAGATGAAGGGGATGATCTGAAAAGTATGCTAGGGGAAGATGTGATGCGTCACTCGGAAAATTGGACAGGTTTCCCTGGTGAATTACCCGGGGTTGTGTTGGATGTTGAGAGACAGATATTTAAGGACTTAATTGATGAATTTGTGATTGATGAAAGTTTGGGAGTGACGTACAATAGGCACAGCAAGCTATTTGGAAAGTAGTTCATTTCATTTGTTCATTTACAAATAATATTTTTTGTATCAAATCCATGAAAGTTTAAGGATTAAGAGCTTTGATTGTTTTTGCTAAGCTGTGAAGCAAGTAACTTTAACACGGATTTACATCATAAGTATTCTCAAAAATTGATGGTGGAACTTGTGTGTCAGCTATAACTTTGGCTTCTGAAATTGAGTTTGTCTTCACCAATTTCCTTGGGAGAAAAATATTGAAGTTGCATACCTCAATGAAAGTGGAGAAAAAAACTGGCAAATGCCATGCACATGTCTCTTGAAGAATCCATATTGTAGGCCAACAAAAGGGTTCAATGTCCATCTCCTTTTTACTGTAAAATCTGCTACATTCTTGTAGAAAGGAATTGATGTACCAAATTCCAAAGTAGCTATAAGGTTAGTGATAAAAGTTAGAAAAGAGGGCAAAAGAGGTTGTGGTTTAACTCTCCCATTAATATTTGGGAGATATAAAATTGATTTGAAGATTTGGAAAGAAGAGTATAAGAGATTATAGATACAACTCCTTCACTAATAAAAGAATACCAAATTCCAAGCCATGAAATCAGAATACTGTTCCGGATTGCACTTGTGACATTCAATAGTCCATAGTCATCAATCCAAAGACATATATGCAAAATTTAGGCATAGAATCAACTTCACTGAATTCTGTACTTAATGGTTAGAACTGAAAATAACTTATGCTGCAAGCTTTCTTCGGAGTTGAACGGTTAATGAAAAGATAAAATTAATTAATTAAAAGGGTAGGTAGTAGAGAAATTAGAAGATAATGGCTATAGACCGAGAAAGACAAATAAATCAATGTGCTTATATTTTATTTGATAAATTTAGACATGTTGCTGTTTTGCAAAAAATAGTATAAAATGAGAAATAAAAAGCAAGAAGCATGGGGTAAATTTGGGCTAATTTTACTTTATATATAGTTTCCATCAATAATATAAAATGAGAAATAAAAAGCAAGAAACACGGGAAATGAAATCTCTTATTACCTTGATTAATTAGTAATATAAAAATTATTAATACAAATCCTATATATCGACCAGCCTCCGTAGCATAGTGGTAGTGCGTTCGCTTCGTAAGCGAAAGGTCGTGAGTTCGATCCTCGCCGGGGGCTTTTCCCTCGAAATTATTATTACTTTTGATATTTTTATGCCTTTTTACTTATTTTCCATCTTCAATTTTTAATGAAATCAAACACACTTATTGCGCCAGTCCGATTCTCAACCTCATGCATAAAAAAAATGTAAAACATGTTTTTTTATTTAAAAAATAAATAAAAAATCACCAAATTAGTCCTGCGTCTCATTTATTTTGAAACTATTTTTATATTTTCTAATTACTTTTTCTGAAATATGAAAAAAACACACACCCAAAATTATCAGTTTAAGATATAAAAAATACATTTGGCAATGTTTTAAAAATGGGATGTGTCAATGAGTTCACTGATCCAGAAACAAATTAAATATTCTAGCCTGTTTACAAATTACACTTTGTATTTGGTAACCAAGAAACAGCAATAAATAAATAAACAACAGAAAAATGAAGTATTTAAAATGTCATTGAATACTTGTTAAAATGCATAAAGAAAAGAAAATGATATAATTTGAAGAAGAAAAGAAAGAATTGGAGGTAGCATGAGTGGTCCCTTATCTATCCAATGTTCATGAAAATCAACAATGAAAATTTGTTTGTTGGCAAAGAGTGCTCTTTTGATCTGCATGCCTATAAACTGTATGCAACTTACCTATATGCTTCTGTTTTTCCTTTTTCTTCTAACTCTATATGGATTATGGTCAATTTGTTAGATACAACAACTACTTCTATGCCACACAAAAAATAGTAAAACAACAACAACAAATAGGACCACTTCTATATTCAAGCCTTTATATATATATATGCTTATAGTGCTACAAAATGACATTATTCCTATTATAATATTATACACTTCATTTCTTTATTATCATTATTAGTATAATTATAAGAATAAAGAGAAAAGTAAAACTTTATGTATGCCACTAAGATAAATTTATGTTTTGTTTGAAGTTCTAACCCATTGAAATAATATCGTTAGAATTTATCATTTTATATAGATATCTGTTTACAGTTTATAATTTCTTCCTGGTTTTATTTTTAAAAGATATTTTGAATATCCAAAAGATAAATGTATATTTATTTATTTTTAATCTTAAAAATATAAAATTATTGGATATATTAGAATACGTTTTTATTTCTGTCAATTTATTTTATTTTAAAAAATTACTAATTAGTAAATATGGTAAATGCTAATGAATTAGCAATGGTTAGAAATTAAATTTATATGTTAACGAATTTCTAAGAAAATCTTTCCTTTGAATAAAATTAAATGAATTGTGTTTGAAATTTTTATTATTACAATTATAGTAGAATTTAATTAATATGCATTCTCAAGCTATTATGGTTAGAATAGATTGTCAATATATTCATGATTTTTTTGCAAGCTGAATTTGATTGAAATAAATAACGAGTTGGCAAACATGTTTTCAGAGAAGGCATTATTGCAAAATATAAATTCTATAACACATTGTTTATAGTAGTTGTTAAACAATCGATGTTAGCAAAATACAGTAACACTTGGTAAATAAATGAAACTTTATACAAGAATTATAATTTAATTATAATGTAAATCATATATATTTTACACATCGGACCCCACATCGTTCTAAACTGAGGAATTTGTTTTATTAATGTCAATTGAAAATCTTGTAAGATTTAGGATTTAGGTTTTAGACTGTTAGATTTTTTTTTATAATTAGAATGTGAGTTGAGTTTGTAAAGACTTGTTTATTGTAAACACCACTTGAAATATGAGTTGGAGGTAATTAAATGAAAACTTGAGTTGAACTAGTAATGTGACTTTGTGAAACTTTAATTAGTTTACCAATAACTTGACCTAAACTTAGTGATAATAGATACAAACCATTATAAAAATTCTTTTCTTTTTTGTATTTCTTAATTTTATTTAAAAAAAGGAAAACAAACATGGTAGTTTGACAAAACCAAAAAAATAAAATATACGTGATATTTGTTAAAAGATTTTTAAATTAAAATTTAATTCTTGTAAATTTCTGTATTAATACAGGTTAAACAAACATCTCCTCCCTTTTAAAAAAAGTGGTCATTATACTTATTGAAATACAGTAAAAACTATGTATGTGAGATAATATATCTAACAATACTTAAATATAAGGAAATTTCATCTACCAAATTTAAGCATGGAAATCATCACAATAAATACTAGGAAAATTTAGAAAATACATATTTTATTTTATGAAATCAAGAATATTAAATAAACTTAACTAACATCCTTAATTAGTGTGAAATTACGTCACTTGTATGCAAGTCTAGAGGTAGTAACCTAACCAAATATTTAAATTGTCATTATTATTAAGCAAGATGATATAATTAATATCATAATTTCAACCATGCAATGACATGTATCTCACAAAACTAAACCTATATATATATATATATATATATATATATATATATATATATATATATATATATATATATATATTCACTGAGTGTACTAAATCGAGGGAAATTCTCTAGAACTAATGAGCTTGAAACTCAATTTTTCTATCGAAAATTATTCAAAACATTAAAGTTAGCACAAATGGTTAAGTGTTGCACAAATTAAGCAATACAATCTGGAAACAAAAAATTATATATACAATCTGTAAATTTTTTTAGAAAAGATAATAAAGTAAAATATGAACATGTGTACCACTAATATATAAGAGAACGATTTGTAAAATTATAGTGTGATAATTAATTATGTAGGTCTACATCGAAACCAACTATACTGACTTTCTTCAATCAAAATCGAAACAACTTTTACTATGTCCAAAGCTTTTGTGATAACTAAAAGATTTTCTGATATTTCATCTTGAGATTATTTAGTGAGCTAACATGTGAGTATTCTGTTGAAGAATGCAGTTGATAATTTAGGTCTGTCTGTTGTTTACTTTTTTACTTTAATGGAGGAAGCTTTAATTATGAGGGTGTGCAGTAATTAATTGCAATAATATATAAAAAAAAATATGGTAAGTGGAGGGTAATGCGGCACACCAAACTTCACATGGCAGTGGTAACTGTTGTAAGAAAAAAAAATGGCATATCCATAAATGTAACTGCTTCGTCTTTATTTCTTTGATAGTAATAAAAAGCTTAGAATTGGGACCACCATGTAAATTTTGGCTTTTTTTCTTTGATGAGAGAGCTTTAAAAACCCAATCTTGGATCTTGTGATATATTATTGTCTACAGGCAGAAGAGGAGAGACTGCTTTCAAGATCAGTACTCTGCTTCAGATTTGATGTTGCTTCCTTTTCATCATCAGAAAAACTGCAGATTCCAATACATTTTCTCACTTTTTCACTTTGTGTTACAACCATGCTTCTATCAGTTCCATGCCTTCATCAATATGCTGTTAAAGAGGCTACAAAGATGAACCCCTTTTCGATTTCCTATTTCCCTTCACTATTTATATCTTTCTCCTCTCTATTAACATTTCTTTATCAACCTTATTTCACTACTTTTTCTCTCTATCAAACCTCGCTCCTGCACCATGCAAACAATCACACATTTTACTTCTCTCTTTTTTCTTTTTTTTATCTTTTAAATTACCATATTAATTTTAAGCTAAAGTTGTTTAATAGTTTTAAGAAACATATATTTCCAACCTTATGTTTTATTCTTAAGAAATCGTTTTAAGAGATCCTTTTATTTTGAAGAAGGACGTTTGACTTACAAATGCTTTTAATATCATAACATCACATACTGTATACACTATCTAACATTTTCATTTGTTTCCATTTAGATAGTAAAAAGAAAAAAAAAACAAAACATGCATCCATTAACAATAACATATTTATGACAAACCAATGAATTAACCAACCATACCACACGCTTGCATGTATATGATGTAAACGATGAAATTAAACGCATAAACTTAATGTACATACACGCATATATTTACTTACATTGCTACTTACCTTTTTTTTTTTGTTGGGATAACATAACTACATAATCTTAGACTATGCAACCGTATCACTAGACGAAAAAAAAAAACGTAAATGCGTATTTTACTTTTATCAGAAAAAGAATTTATAAATGTAAACCATGATGAATAAATGCATATATTTATCCGTAAATTCTGTTATAAATAATATATATATATTTTTATAGGGTAGTTGTAGGTATGAATGAATAGGTTCGGTATCCCTTTATAGACAAAAATCTACATTTATCTAATGAAATGAAAAGTGTATCCTCCTCCCTTAATATCTTTTCCCTTTTCGATTGATGAAAATTCTTTTGTGACGAAAATGTTTCAGTTAGTTATTTTTGTTTATTCTATTATCTCCTCCATCACTCGTGTCGTGAGAAGAGACACTTTGCTCTATTTGTAGACTCGTGAGAATCTTCGTTCTACAAGTTCTTTTATAACTGGGTTTCTTAGATTTTGCTTTTTGGTTGTAGATATTTTTTAAGCAATACTATAAATGATGAAAGAAAAAACACAAAACCTTCTCACGAGGTAATTATTATGGCTGTTAGGCCGAACCGTTGCGATCCTTTTGCATCATACGCATGTCTTGGTTTCACTCAGCTTAAATCTGACATTCTGAAAATAGCAATTATGCAGAAAGCTTAAATATGAGTGCATGGATGTGTACAGGTGAGAGAAGCGTTCTTGGGATTGATTTCCCCGAGTCGTTCAACACTTCCTTGGTCAGATCGTCCGCAAAAAGCAACACATGTTAGGAGAAAAAAGTTCAAGAGCAGCAGCGTTAAATGGCAAATAAAATAATATATTGCTCATCAAGACACTTGGAGTCATTTCGAAAATCCCCATTACTCCTATAGCTTCCGTTTGAAATGAGAGGACAGCATGCAAGTGTGTGAGAGTGAGAGCACGTAAAGTTCAAAAAAGTAAGAACAGTGTATATGTTGATCAGGCTACATCAATTATGTATGCATGTTGGACTTCATAATTAATCAATTGTACTCTTTTCAAACAAACATTACCATATGCTCAGTACACAGTGATCTCAATTAGATAGCTGTGAAAATAGTACCATTTTAAGCTTCCTTTTGTACTCAAATGGGATAATAGCATTTTGAATAAAGCATAATATGTCAATGAAAGATGGAGTACAAGGCTACCCCACTTTCACGAGTTTTCTCTTATAGTACACTGATGACTTCACTTGTATTTATATATTACACCTTAATCTGACTTTCAACGTAATCATCAATTATCACTTATAACATGAAAGATAATCCAATCTAAGAGATTAAATCATCAGATAAGAAAGTCTGATGTCTGCACAAGAAAACATTTGAGGCTGATCAGTTTTGGGGTTACCTTGTTTTGATAAAATATTTACATTATGATTATTTTGTCCAAAGTTAAACCATTTAATATACATGACTCAAGGTTGTGTATATGGTGTCACGAACCAAAAAATAATTCAAGTTTAAACGAAAACACTAGAACTATTTGGACTTGAAGTCTAGTTAACAAGAGTCTACCTATAATGAAAATGATCGAACGCGTCCCACTCGGTTATTTAAGAGTTTAAACTATTAAATTAAATCATTCCAACAAATTCATATGAAAGATCTAACACATAAGCACATGAGCACTAATTCAGAATATTTTATTATACCTCGTATTCATAATGATTAATCAAATCAACAAGGTATCTAAAGGTTGCAACCACAAAGTTCAATTCAAATATAAATATTGTATATGTATAGCCAGCATTGCCATACTTACAAAATTAAGACTCACGGCTGAGTGCGAAAATTTAATTCATGTGCTTTAGCTGTTGAACACTGATATGAAGAATATCCTGGAAGGATACTACGTACCCTTATATCTTGCTTGCGTTGTTGACATCGTTTGCGACAGAAAGGGAGATGATGAGGAGCTTCAAGAACGAGTACTGCCCTTACCTTGTTGGCTACGATCGCTATTATCTGAATCAAAAAGCTTGGAACTTAAAGATGTTGGAAGGCGTCTAAGAGGTGAAGTGGTGGAATGAATAGATTGGATGAGAGGATGAGGCATCATGACTTGGGAACTTGAGCTAAAGATCTGAACACTGTTGGATTGTCTTGGATCGCTTTCCACCGAGTAAAAAGCAGATGGTGTAGCAGAAGGTGGACAAAAAAGTAATTGGGGACCAGATGCTCCACAGAAATTAGAAGATGAAAATTGCACACTACTGCCACTGCTTGGATGGGAAGGAAATAATTCATGGCTTCCAAGGTGGGATAAAGATAGAGTTGAAGGTTCAGAATGATGGTAGGAGTTATGTGTGATGGCATTGTTTGACAAACCAGGTAAATAAGAGCTATTAGTCCCAAGGGGGAAGACCTTACAATGAGCTGAAGATTCTTCTCTATTGCGAGTACTAACACCAACAATTCCATTTTGATGATTTTCTAGTTCATTTGGTTTGATCCAGAACTTGCCCTTCTGGGAGGTTGAGACACTTTCAGCTAACTCCGTACGGTTTTGAGAATCTAAATCCCAATACCTTGTTGACTTTGTCATGAGGTTTTGGTTTCCCCCATCCTTTAAAAAAGAGGAATTAACACCATCATACAAGCTTCCAAGAGAGAACTGAGAGGTACCTGACAGTGGAGTTTGTTGGTGAAACTGAGCAAAACAGTGAGGAAATTGAAGTGGTGGGAGTTTATCAATATCAGATTTGGTGACTTCAAGCAACCAATCTACCACCTTGCTAGGTTGGTTCAGTCCAAGCTTGTCTTGAAGATCATATAACTGAATTGCTGTTGGCACAGACAGTCTAATCCTTCGGTCCCTCAGTCCCCTAATGGTGCAAACCTTGCTGTGCCTATCTTTTCCTCCCAAAGAACGAGACACTCGTACAATTCTTGGGTTTCTGAATGCTGACCATGATCTTGAGGTGGAGGCTGCCTTTGACAACTTTTCAATTTTAATGTTCTCGCCCTCTTGTTGATTGCCTTGCTGAACTTTACTTGAACTTTCATTCATCATGTTTCTTATAATCTCATCATTTTCTTCTTGATAATATCATACAATAAGATCAACCTTTTCGATATCATGCACTGCAACCGACTAACCCCGATCTGATAAACAAGAGGAAAGGAAAAAGTTATAATATCAGAAAACTTTTTTTTTTCTTACTGCGCAGTTTTTAAGTATACGTTTACAGCAAAACTATATGTGCTAAACTTGTTGCTTACTTGACTGGAAAACATCCCAGAATAGATTAAAAAATTAGAGAGCCAAAATCATGGGTCAGAAAGAAACAAGAAGATAGTGTAAAAAGTTCAACACTGAAATCAGCTTTACCAATTGTACAAGAGCACTGAAATTATAGTGGTCGAAAACTAGGGCAAAGAGAACTCTACTGAGTCAATTGATAGTGTTATGAAAGTGAATCTAAGGCAGAAAGATGAGTTTGGAGGAAAAATTGAGACATGCATGGTTAGGTTTTGAGTGAAAAGATTAGAAGCATGAGTGTGAGTAGTGAGATAAGAAGATGAACTTACGTGAGAGAGGAAAGTGTGGATATAAGGTTTTGAGCATAGAAGAAATGGAGGAGACTGCAGAAGTAGAAACTTCGTACAAATCTTCAATGTTAACTAGTGGAGCAGATGACCTCAAGTTTCGACTTCAGCCTTTTTTTTGCTGCAAAGGAATAATAATGTTGCATCGAATTGAGAATTTTTGTAAAGAAAAGGTTAGCATTTTACAGCATCATATGGGTGTAAATGTCAAAATTAATAATAATAATAAGAAGAAGAAGAATTAGTTCACCTTCACCATGTGGCATCCTTGTCAAGTGGCACGTCAACCATTGCTTCTCTTGACTTTCTCAATCTCTTTGCACCACATGCTCATCAGCAATTAATATTAGCCTCTGCCTTAATTAATAATCACTCTTAATCAAACTCAACTCTTAATTATTAACTTATTCAAACTTCCACTCTAATTACATTACTTTTTTCAAACTGTTTATCGCTTAGTTACTCCTTTAAAATTACAAAAAGACTGCAAAATTTACACTTTCTGTATTCTTTTTGAAGGTGAATATCAGATATTTATATCTTTTTTTTAAATTAACTTGATGACTAAATTAATAGTTCACTAAAATTTAAAACACTGAATACAGAATATATATATATATATATATATATATATATATATATATATATATAAGAGGTTTTCTCTTAGTTATTATCTTATACATATACAAGAGGTTTTTCATAGTTATTAATCATAGATAGCTTCAGTGTCGGACTAATTTAGGTTTGCCTGTGCCGGCTAGCCCAACAGGACTGACAATGAAAAGTTAGGAAAAATATTTAATATTGTACCTTTATTAATCCATTTACTATTTTTAGTTCTATTTTAATAATAAATAAAAAAAGCATCAGCAACAATACATTTTAAACAAAAATTTCTTAAAAATGTAGACACAAAAATATGGAGCTCTTAATTTGTATGGTCAATATTTTAAATGCAATTAACATTTTTTTGTTTGGGATATTCGTTATTTTTATTAAACTTACTAAATTCCTTGTCATATTTAAGAAAATAAACAAATTTATAACATAAATTGTTAGGAAACTATATATACGATGTAGTTTTAATCGTCTCTTGCATTATAAATTTCAGTTCTATTTTTTTTTAATTGTAAAGGCGTTTTAATCATTTTTATTATTTATGATACGTGACATTGTTATTTATGTATTATATTTTGAAAATTTGAAATGATTAATTGTTCCTTTTTACGATAATATTTGTCTGTGTTAAAGTTTATTTTTATGTCAAAATTTAAAATTCTGAACTGGTACTTTAATTGTGGAAGTATTCTAGTTTTGTTGGTTAAGGGTTGCATAAATTATTCTATACTCTTTGATATGTGTTTAATTTGTATACATGAAAAAAAAAATCTAACTGTAATTACATTTAAATTCCTCTTTTCTAAATTAGAACCTTTGATTTCAAATCTTAACTACGTACCCATAATTTAAAATTAACTTTTACAAAGCCTTTTTAAAGAAAATCCCGTTTTCCTAAATTTAAATTACATTATTTCAGAATTTAAAGTTACCTATACATAATTCCCTAAGCTTAAATTCTTACATTTTGTATTAAAATTTAAAATGTATATAAACACTTGCAAAATGCAAAGTAGGGATGAAAATCGATGTTATATTACATAGGAAATAATTGCTATAGTTTTTATTTATTGAAATGTCAAATGTTAATTAGGTCAGGAAAGAGACCGTGAAGGGGGACAAATGTTTTGAATCTATGTTACAAATTACTTTGTTCCTATTTTTAGTCTTTTTCATGACCAGTTAACGTATACTCTTTTAGTAGTTAAGTTATTTAACTTTGTTCACATGTCCCTTTTTAATTGAATGGCAAAGAATATATTATTTGAGAGAAAGAGAAAGATTCCTATATATAATGTCACGATTTATTAGCATTTTGCTATGAGCTACGCCATCTTCATACAACAATATTTTACATTTTTCTCTTTTGTCACTTTTAATCGCTTTTATGCTTGACAGAATTTTACAGATACAATTTATTATATCCTTTTTAGTTTCAGAAAAGATTGTTGGGATTTAAGAAAATGAATTCTGAAAAGTAAGAGACAAAATAAATAGTGCAGTTACTGATAGAAGTATATATGAAGAAAGTAAAAATAAAAAATAAAGCCTCACAGGTAAACTTTGAAAAGTTATGATGTATGTTGTTGGATTCTGATCGTTGTATTAGATGATATAGATCCATAGCTGTGCTATAGATGAGGGACCAACTTAGCCTCATAAAAGCATCCACTCAACTTATAGCTGGAAAAAAAGAGAGGGACCACAGACATATGCCAGTGAGATTTGCACACAGCACAATTAGAACTCTTTATATATATACATACATATCACTCACATTGTAATAACTAGTTTGATTTCTTCTCTAATTATGCTACCTAGTTTCACAATATTAATGTGTATACTATAAGATTAATGAGTTTCTTCTACCTGAATATACTAATATCACAAGCTTTCTAGCTGATATATATATGAACTTGCAGCTCAGACTTAGTTTATCACAGATGAACCAAAAACTAGAAGCATATGGTTCAGTAAATCAAGTATAGAATATCTAAACCGTTTCCTAATTAGGTTTTTGTGTTATATGGTTCAGTAAATCATGTCGTTATATGCATATAAGAGTAATTGATGTGTATTAGTTGGCCTTATAGAGAGAATATGTTGCTTTGAAAAAGAGAATCACGCGTATGTTTGTAGAGAGCATATGTATATGTAGAATCCCTAGCTAGCTAACTCTCGGGTGTTCTGTGTCCAAAGTCGAAAAAAGAAAAAAACATAATGAATCTTCTTTCTAATGTTGTGTACTGAGGTTAGAGACAAGGAGTAAGAGCCTTCAGCTTTTCCCTTCAAAATATCCACAAAATAGGAATCTTGGCCTAAATTATTGAGAGTTCATCATCAGGACACACTGCAACTGCCATTGTTGAGTACTGATCAAAAGCTGAACCAATACTTTTAAACTCAAAACCCTAAGTGGGGTTAAGACCTTGTGAACCACATATATATGAACCTTGCAGTAATAAGTAAGATGAAAATTTAATATTTCTGCACCCACCTCTTACAGGATATACATTAGTTTCAAAATCAATCAGATTTAAAATAAATAAAAAAAATGCAAAAAATGGTATTATTTGCGGCAGGACACAAGAAACCCTAAAAATTTTTAGAACTTTGTCATTTGAGATAAAGATGGCCCATTTAAAGTATTCAGTTTTCGTTTGCAGAAAACAGAAAATGATGACTTCGAAGATTGTTGTCAATTTGTTTCTCTTTCTCAAGGGTTTTTTTTAGTTTTATGTGCCCAGCGTTATCCTTATGTCTGCAACCTATTGCAGAAAAAGTAATGAACTCAACAATAATAGGAGTTTCTACTAAATACTCCTATTTTATATATGATGATGATGTAATTATTTACCCCCAGTTCTTTAAGCATTGAAATAATTATTTGAAAAATACCCCTATTACCTAGATAGGATTCCTTAATTTATAATTAACTTCTATTAATTTGAATGAACTTAATTAATGTATAATCAAATTTTGATTACTCTAGACCAAATACACACCCAAATAGTAGATAAAATTGCATTTGGAACCTTTTGAACTAAATACCAGAGTTACCATCTATAGAGAGAATACACTATGTTTGAGTTGTCTAAACTCTCTGAAAAAGGTTAAGTTTCTACGAATAAACCAGTGTAATCATAGACTATTTTTAATTACAAATGTTTTTCTGTCTGATTTTTAATTCTCTCTGTAGGTGTACTATGTATCTACACTTTACTTTCAAGACTAATATGAAAACTTCTTCTTTTTCTAACCTAGACCTGTATATGGTTGAAATTAAAGTTTAGCTAATAGACATATAAAAGTAATGTTTTGCTTCAAATGTTACAGGGAAATTGGAAGAAAGATAACATTTCCTTTTAAGCATGTAATTTCTTTGTTTGTTGTTGATGTTGAAAACACTGTTGCATCACCATCAACACTGTCGACTGAGTAGTAGTGAGTAACTCTCTAATGAATGAATATATATACTATCACTGTCAAGGACTGCGAGATCTCTGCGATTTAGCTTGAAGATATGACTGAGTTAATAAATGAGTGGTCAGAAATCAATAGATAATTCAGGAGGATTTGCATGAATGACAAGTTTCCCATTGTGGATTGGGAATAGAGGAATCTATAATTAATTATCAATACACACTAAAATATGTGTGTGTAGTCACAGAAATAAATTTAGGTCTTAAATTTTGAATAACTACAAAATTTTGTTGGTTCCTTGCAGCTGCGGAGTAGTTAATGCTGTGTACAGAGATCTGCAAAAGGTAGTGACAAGAGGAAAGATATCTGATGAGAAGATAAAAGGAAAAGTGATAAAGATAAATGGTATAGAAGGAAGAGAAATGGTTGTTAGGAATGAGGTTGAAAAATTGATAGAAAAAGTGGAAAAGAATGACAGGTTCTTCTTCTTGTAACCATTACTGGGTATTAAGGTTAGCAGTGACAGCGTGAATTGCCAAACCTCTGTGGTGTGTCCATGTGAATGAAAGAGACTGAGAGAGAGCGAGATGTTTCGGTCATTGGTGTGGCCTATACCTTTACTTCTGCTCCTGCTTCATGTTTATTATCGTATGTATAAGGTCAACAGATGAGCTCAGTTTTTTATGCTAGCCAGCACCACTCTTTCCTTTAACTTCTTCAAAAAAAAACTAATATTATTGTGGTCAATTAAATGTTCCTTTTATATGTCTTTCAAAAATTTTAGGTCAATTTAAAAGATCAAATATTTTTCTTTATTTTCATAATAATTGTATTAATTAATTATTAAGTAAGTAAGGACATGGTTAATGTTATTTTCAAATTTTAAAAGACCGCAAATATATATATATATATATATATATATATATAATCAAGAGTTTTGTTTTAAAAATTCACACTTCAAAAAAAAGTAAAGTAACAAAAATATTTAATAATTCTACGTCCCTTATATATTAAGAAGTATGAAAACATTTTCAACCTAATGATTTTAAATCAAATGACTAAAGAATTATTGATAGCATTAAATAAAAGAAAAGAGTAGATTTTAGTTTATAAGTCAAAATAAAAACAAAAAGCTTAAAAGGAAAAAAGTTTTGCACACAAGAGTGCATTTGTACATGTTCGCACTAAAATATCTTATCTTTCCAAGATTAACTATTCCTAAGAGTACATTTGTCCATGCTCCCACTAAAATATCTTATCTTTCCAAGATTAACTATTCCTTTCTTAGTTATTGAATAAATTTTTATCACCTCGTTTTCAATTATATGATCAATTAAAATAATCATAATGTAATATTCATATTTTTATAAAGAAAAATTTGAAAAAAAAAATCATGTTTATTGACTTGTGGACTATGAAAAATAATCAAATTTTATAAGTGCATCCTAATTTCAACATTATTAGAAGACATTGTGAAGTTTCAGTTAGAATGTTTTGAAAAGACAACTGTGTGTAATACCTTAATAAAAAATAATGTAGAAAAGCCTTTGTATGTGAGATGTATGTTTTTGACAAATTTATTAATTGTATTAAGGTTAGTTAATGTTAATACAGAAAATTGGTGAACTAATAAAAGTTTCATTTACAAAAGGAAAGTGTATGAATGAGTGTGAAGTGCAACTAAACATATATGTTTGTCCAATTAATTAAATATTATACAGTAAAGAATTTGAACATTGTATGTGTAAAGGTGTGGGATATCAAGCTACAAAATGAATGATGATCTTTAAGAGGATGATGACAACACAAAAAAAATATTCTTGGCACATTTTCTAATATATAATTGTTTGTTTGCTGATGTTAAACTCATGATAAACCTTATAGGCATGATGTGATAAATTGTTACACTATATAATTAATAGAAGTGACAAAATGACTCAATTTAATCTAAGTTTATTTTTTATATTGTATAGTTAATAAGAATGATAAAATCAGTCAATTCAATCTGTTTTGACTCAGATAATTTTTCATTTGATAAAAACGGATTGGAATTGACTTGTTTATACAACAAAGACTAAAAATGTTCCATTTTGAGATGAGTTCATGGGTTAACGGATTAGTCCATTGGACCTAGTTTTTTATAAAGAAAAACTTATGTTTTTAACACTGATTAAACTTAAAATTTGTGTGTTTATAACTTTGTTTTTTAACAAAACAAAAGTATCTCCAAGTTAATGCAAGAAAGATATGTTTCAATTTTCAAACTTTGAAATAATTAGCATGTACAATCATAGGAAGACCATCTCTACTGGATTGAGAGTAGAAATGGCAATTTTACCTGTGGACACGGGTATCCACGGGTAAAATTCACGGCGGATAGTAATTATCCGCAGATAATTACTATCGCGGGTAATGGGTAGCGGATATTTTAATATCCGTTTCTAAATGGGTCAGGTACGGGTAGTATACTATCCGCCACGCGGGTACTCGTTATCTGCAAAAAATTAAAAAAAAATAATTTATATATTTTTTAATTAAATTTAATTAAAAATAAAATAAAATTATATTTTATTAGGTTAAATTTAATTAAAATTAAATTTTAATTTATATTTAATTTAATTTATATTATATATATTTTTTTTGTAATTTTATTTAAATTTTATTTTAAAAAAGTATTAAATATTTTTTTTATTTTTTGTGGGTATCCGCGGGTACCTGTGGGTATTTTTTAAATGGATATCTGACGGGTAGCGAGTACAATTTTATCCAGCGGATCAGGTTGCGAGTAGGCACTATCCGTGCCCGACCCGACCCATTATCATTCCTAATTGAGAGTAATCAACGATTAAAAAAATTGAAATTAATTGTATTTCTATTGACACTTTTTAGCGACTAAGCTCACCAACAACATAGTACGTCACTCATAGTTGTAAAGCTGACGTATAATGGTCTCACAAAATTATTTTTCTTCTTCAATCTTATTTCTCTTCCTACTACAAGACTTTGTAAGGAGAGTGAGTCTTGATCAGAATTTTCTATTGGCCTGATTTTTACATATTGACATTTTGGGTTGGATTAAGATTTTTACAAATATGGATTTTAGTAACATGAGTTATGTTCTCAGTGTAGAAATGAAAATGATGAATAAAAAAAAAGAAAGGAGGCTCAAAATAATGAAAAAAAAAGTTTCAATTATGGTAAAAACCAAAACTTAATATGAAAGTTTAAGCTTTATTTCATAACTGAATCCAAAAATCCTCCATGTTTTATCTTGTTTTTTTATATGTTATGATTATTGAACCGAAACACAATATCCAAAAAAAAATAATGGATGTTAAATCTTTTCTCTACACTGGTGTTCTTAGTTTTGTTTAAATTTAATAACTCATTTTTGCTGCATAAAGTTCAACTCATTTGATATTCACCAAGTTTATTAAAAATTTTAAGATATTTTTCATCGTTTAAAAAAGTAATAGATATTATAGTTGTCATAAAATTTGAATTATGTGTCATTTTTACTATTTTATATAGCTTCATAAAATTTATGCAATTTTTATTTGTTATTTTATTTTAAGATTTATGTAAATAAGGATTTTTAAATTAAATTCTTAATAATATCATGTTTTTTAATTTGTTTTAAGAAAATTATTTAGTTTATTCTAGAAAGTACAAGTACAGACTTGAGTATAGGTATATGCCATATTGACTTTGAAGAATTGATCTGATGCCTCTGTTATATTTTTTCTTGTTTTTTTTTCAGAATTCATGTAAAAACTTGATTTTAGTAGATTGGCTTAGGAAAGATAATTAAAAAAATTGGATGTAGTCTTATTTGAAAGATGAACTGCCTAAATTATGAAAATCACAAAAATGAGCATATATTCCAACTAAGAGCAGGTAGGATTCAAATGTAAGTTGTTATTTGTCAATAAAAATTAATAAATTTATTCAATATAATTTACTACCTTACATACTTTTTGAAATATAATTTTCAAAAAATATAATTTATATATAACTATATTTCTATTTTTGTCTTTTTAATTATTATTTTTAAAATTTAAATAATTTATAGATATTTAAAAAATATGTACAGATATTGCTTCTGGATTTACGTTAGTTAATGATAAAAACTGTTTAATAGATAACATTATTTTGAAATATATCTTAATCCAAGTTTTATATTTTTATTTAGAATTTAATCATACATAATAGTAAGATTTATATATTATGTTAAAACTTTGTTCACTCTATTTAATCATGTATTTGAATCTTGACTTTAAATTGGAATTTTAAATGTCTCCATCAAAAATTTAAATTACATAAAAATAAAATTATTTGGAAACGGTACTCTCTCTTTCCTACATAGAACAAGCGATCAATTAGGTCCAATTAATCAGCGAATACAAGTTCATGAACATAAAAATGATTGCATATCATCTAAAACAAGTGAAAATGGAGGACCTTTAATGGATCCAATATGTAACTATAATAATAATTGGTGGAAATAGAGGTTACAAATATCAGTTAGGATTCAACCATTTATGTACATTCGCAATGTATGGGAATGGATCTCTCCAGTAACATTTTCATTAGATCATATCTGTACGCTTCAAAAGTTATTAAGATAATAATAATTTTTATAAAAACTGAAAATTTTAAATAAATAAATAAACAAAATCGGCATTCTTGAGAATGTCTCAAGGTAATTTTGCACGTGAGAGAATCCTCTCCCCATTTATGAAATAAGGGATGTGGTCCAATCAAATGGCACAAGTATGGAACAACCAAAGCTTATATTTGTTCACTTCAGTATGGAACAAGTTGGCTGAGTGGTTTCTATATATTATAGGCAATTACATTCCTGTGTAGCTGTTCTATGTGAACAATTATCATGTGTCTTTAGTCATGAGTCAAGACATATCATACCGTATACTGAATGTAATTTTTATCACTGTACCCATCAAATTTCGTCCTGCAGTCTATCAGTCTTCCGGAATGGGATAAGTATCTTCTGAGAAAAAAAAAATATTCCAGCCAGAAAGTAAAATCTACTTCGATGGAGTGCGGGCAGAAATTTGATAGGATGCATGAAGAATGCAGGAAGTCCTTGCCTTAGAAGAATGGAGGCAACAGATACTTTGATGTCATTTTAGAAACCCAATTTGTCAAAAGCAAATAAATGTCTTAGGTGAAGGCACGTTTAAACAAAATATGGATTTCATTTCCAAGATATGTGTATGTGTGCTACACGCTCCATCAAGTTGCCCTGAAGAAATTTTGAAATGACATTCAAAAGCTTCTCTCGTAATCAAAATAAACAAGGAAATTTCGAGGGCAAGTATTCAATTTACCCATTATCAAGTCATTGAATCAATTTACTTTTTTATCCCACATTCACAAAGTAAACAAATAGTTAAACTTAACCCCAGCCAGCTACACTTTATTGATATCAAATGTTTACACGCCTCCTTAAAATGGACGGCCGCACAGGCCGGTGCTAAAAGACTAATAGGATCTTTTTTCCATTGACAAAAAAACAGAAAGTTGACTGGGCCAATAATGTCCTCATTAAGAGCACAAACCTGATCAAAAAAAAAAAAACAGTCAATCAGAGTTATGATAGCAAGTGTATACTGCGATTAATGCATTATAGTTATACGACTGAATAACAGGATCCAACCACAGCAAGAATGATTTCATTTTCTTTCTTTCCACACTAAAAGAAAGACATACACTAAAGCAGCAACGCCAGGTGCATCATAGTTTTCTTTGCTTTGGTATTTGTTTAGACCGTTTATTAACATGGATATCAGAGCAGAGCTACCAACCCAAAATGGGGGAAAGGTAATTTTTTTTTATCAAAAGTATGTCGATATAAGGCATATTTAACAAGTCAATAACAAGAGGCTAAAGCCGAGGATAAACAGAGGTTGTCTCACAGTAAAGAAAAAAAGGATAAAATTGTAAAAGAATAGAAGTTGCAGCAAGAAAAGTAATGCAAGTATGAACTATGAACAAAGTCAGGAAGAAGGTATACTCAACAGAAGTTAAGGAGCTGCCTGAAAATTTTGAGCTGCTGGAAAAGCAAGGCTTTCACCAGAAGAGGCATTAGCAGCCAATGATGGAAGATGCAAGAAAAAGTAGTAAAACCCGGCATCATTCTTCAAAGAATGAAGGGTGTTTCAACTCCTTTGTATTCTGATGGAAGAAAAATTATGAAATTTCATAAACCACCTCAATCTGAGTAGTAGAATCAACAAAAGGAGCGCAAAGCAGGAATTCAGTGAAATCTTAGACATGGTGGCTGTGACAGCCACCATACAGGCTGCTATCACCACTGCACAAAAACATAATGAAACACCACTTCCAATGTGGTCAGACTGCACGAACAAAGGACTTTCTTATTTAGTTGTGCACACGTACACCAGGTACCCACTATATCCCCTCCTAAGAAAATATTTTCCCATGGAATTTCTCAGACTAACCCTTCTAAACTTCCCAAAATCCAATTGGTGTTGCTCCTCTAGCCCTATTTGGGGAGCAATACACTTTCAGGTAAATATTTGTTGGTTGATGACAAATTTTAGGATGTTGTCATATCTCTCTTTTCTAGCTTCATCACACCAGAGTGCCAATGTTACAAATTCTAATGTGTCTAGTCCCTTGATATTTTCACCAACCCCCTTGGTTTCTTGAAGGCCCATAGATCACCCTTTTCTCCTAATCATGGCATCAACTACGTCCATAGATCATCCTTTCTTGAAGTATCTATTATTACCAACTCTATCCCGACACTTTCTTTACTTCTCAATAATTTTTTACCCAGAGCAACATCATTCATCAGTTGCACCCAGAGCTTGAGTATATTGACCTAATAGATGGTAACTACAATTTGAATGCTATCAACCAATTGGCCACCAGGGTGAGCTAGAGTGCAGAGGTTCTTCGGTGGTGAATATCAAAATAGATAGCATGAGCTATAGTCCCCCCATTTGATGCATGCCAAAGACCAAGTGGACCAAGGGTAAGGCGTGGACTACCCTTAAGCCTTCCTCATTGTTTCAGAAATTAGGTTCAAAACCACAAAAAAGACATAATAGCAATACGGAATTGGGTCTGACCCACAATGCTAAGGAAGAATTCCTTTTAGAGACATTTGATAGCAGCCAATCCAACTCAATGAACATCTACATGATTAAGTGAACCTAATATATCATCAAATATAGTGTGGCCTGCAGGATGGTGCTCTCTATTAGCCAGGGAATCAGGTACACCTCCTTTCAACAGAATCATTATTTTTCTTCAGTGGATTAAGTTCATCCAATAGATAAAAAGGTAAGACATTTTCTGTAATTTAAATCCTTCCCCTCCTTCCTTCCTCTGATTCTTACAAACTCCTCTTTGATTCTTCACATGGCTGTAACCAATATTTACCACCTTTTAGAAATTTCAAGCTCAAGCTTTCCTGAAATTCTATCCCAGCGTTGTTCCACCAATACTAAAACTTTTTCAAGGTCCTATCTAGCCACAACAAACCACACGATCTACGTTCTGCTTGTGGAACAACATTTTGTATCTTTCAGGAGTTCTGCATCCAAAAAAGGGGCTATTGCAATCCAGGAGCAGTTTCCTCTTCCATCCCTACCCTCTCCCTTGGGTCAAACCTACTTCCTTCACCTGAATAATTGTAATTTTTTTCTGTATGGGTTTCTAACGTTCAAGATGTTGCTTCTTTGCTCAAGTCCTCAGATCAAATGGTTCTTTCTCTAATTCACTTCCTGCTTGGCAGCTTCCTCATTTGAAACAAATAGCAATATCATCAGGATACTGAGGTCAAAGCCACTTGAAAACAGCCTTCACAAAGGTCAGCAAATTTGCTGGTTACGCCTTTTTCACCAAAGCCACCAACAAAGACAAACAACTCTCAAAGCCCTCACAATATGTTCTGATGGCATCAAAACACAGCTCAATGATAATTAACCAACAAAAAGCCTCCTTTCCAACAATTGGAATTATCCTAGACATTCAGTAGCTTTGACTCCCAGGCCAGGAGCACTAATAATGCTTCATAGATACTGGTATGGAATGTAAAGATTAACCAAAAGAGAAATTTATTCAACATTCTCCCCCAACTCTGAATCCGTAGAATTCAAGGTGAAGAGCAACAATGGCTAACAACAGAATCAAAAGCTTGGTCTCTCCTGTTGGGAATTCTCACGTCACCTATCTCAATTCTTGGAGTGCGGATTATACATCTGTTGGACAACTTCACTTAATGTCAATTGGTTTTAAGTTGAAATCTATGATGGATCAAAGTATATAGCTTATCTTAGTAATTCTCTATTCTAGTTGGCTCGTTTGATTTGGCAGACATATGTGGAAGGGGGGTGTTGGGAAGTCCTACTTCGTCAGCCTCAATTCCTGAAGTGTGGAAATTTCATTTAATGTCAATTGGTTTTAAGTTGAAATCTGATCTTTTACACCCAAAACTAATTAGCTAACTAACTGAATACACCTATATTCACTAACTCTGTCTATCCTGCCACAGCTACTACAGTTAAAGAGCTAACTAAGAGCGGCGGGCCTATTTGGCTCTTTAGTGATTCATCATCTACCTGATCGAGGAATGAAAGACTGAGCTTGAAGATAGCACCAACTTCCTCGTGGGCATAAGCAGAATCAGGCAATCCAAGGATCTAGCCATTTGTAGATTCTCATAGAAGATAATTCATTGGCTTTCTACTGTTATACCTGCATACCTGACGAACCAATGAAGAATAGAAGAGTTGGTAGACTTTGTCACAGCATTAAAAGGAAAGTGGGGAAGAATATGCCTTCCATCGTCAATGGTGTTTCCTTCATCATAGATAATGGCTTTTGGGGTATATACCATCTCTGAGGCTTTAAGAGATGGCTCGGGTCATCCTGCTCCAACCCCAACCACCAAGGAATAGTACCAGCAGTAAGGAAAGACAGCAAAATAAGACGGACAAAAAGGAGACGGATTGACAGAGATCTTGCTTCAAAAAGCGTAGCAGATATTTCTACAAGAATTCCACGTATCATCTAATACTTGCTTTCCTAACTGGGTTATGTCGCTAATAAAACTTATCATTTGAGTGTATAAGACTAGCATTGGCAAAATCCTATTTACAATCCATTTCATAAATTCAACAAAGTTTTACACAGAATCCAACCAGCCTAATCTATTTAACCTCTTATTTCATTTGTACTTCTGGCTACATAAAGTTTAAGTGAAAGCACAACGAAACAAAAAATAACCAGCTTCGTTAGACCTTCTAAAAAAATAAATTGAAACATAAGAAGGAAGAAAAGGTTGAAAATTGAAATTGAGTTAAATAACTCCATAATCCAAACACCAGAGAGATCGTTAAAACAACAATAATTCCCCGGTTTTTGACTCAACCATAAAGCTTCCCAAACATTTGGAAGTGATGAATCCAATATTAGCTTCTGAGGCTAATCACGCGAATCCAAACACAATAACACGAAAACCCCTAATTAACGGAAGCGGGGAAAAGTGACCTGAGAGTCAGCCCTGGTATCCGCCGCCGATAGCATTGATGTCCTCCTCGACGGCGGAGTTGAGATAAACGGGGGGAAAGTCAGAGACAGCGAAGGTCTGCTCCTTGGCGAGCTTCTCGACATCAGCCTTCTTCAAAACGGTGCGGCGGATGGGAGGGCGGTTGCGGCGCTGGTCGCGCGAGAAGTATTTGATATCGTAGACGGTCTCGGGGAGGGAGTTGGGGATGCAGGGTTTCTCCTTGGTGGTTGCTGGGCACTGCAGGCGGTATTCGGTGGCCAAGGGCACAGCGGATCTGTACTCAGGGTCGGCGCAGGGACCCGTGATCTCCCATGGCTTCTTTATGTAGCGCTTCAGAGTCTGCACCAGTGAATTCGACGCCGATTTCGCCATTAAACCAATAAAACTACGAAGACAAGAAAACTGGGTTTCTCAATCACCTGATCAAATCAAATCCCACTCACTCCCTTTGATTTTCATTCCTTTCAATCCCAAACATATCCGGGTCCAGACCCGACTCGAACCCGGATCCAGAACCTTAAGTATGTAACTAGAGGTGAAAAATATGGGCCATGAAGTGTTTATTTTGTTGGTGGGTGTATAAACTCCTTTAAGAGCTAATTTCTATAAAAAAATAATAACTTCCTTTAAACAAATGAAATAGTTATTTTTAATGATTTTCTTAACTAGTATTTTGATTTTTAGCTTCTACCATGCATAGGATAGATGGTTATTTTATATAGTTAAATTTTTAAATAAATATTTTATATATTAAATTCTATTTTGTTATTGAAATTTAAAAAAAAAACTGTTGAAATTTAATTTCGAAATAAAAGTATTATTTTAAAATACAAGTATTTAAAAAAAAAGTACAGAATAATGATAAAAGAAGAGTGATCTGATATTATTAACAAAATTCCCTAGTTAAATCAAATTACTATAAAATAAAAATTAAGATTAAAGTTGAAAAAAACAAAAAGCTCTAATTCTTATATTATTGTATAAGTGTAGAAAACTATTTCCTAAATAAATAAATAAATAAATAATATATATATATATATATATATATATATATGAAAGAACTTGAGAAAGAATTATAATTCAATAATTTATAATAAGTCAAATATCAACTTTGAATTTTATAATATTTTATAAACGAGAGAATTTAATAAACAAAAATCATGAATATAATTAAAGAATAATTTAAAAAATTAAATAAATTATAATTTTATTTTAATTTTACATAATATTAAATTGGTTAGATAAGTTTATTTTTTAAAGTTCAATTTTGTCATTTTTTTTCCTGTTATTTTATGTTTTAGGTTTTGAGTTTTATTTTAGACTTTTTAGGTTTTCTTAAATTTATCTGTCAATATATAGTGATACCAAAAAGTTGAAGTAAACATTTTTTAAGTTATATTATATATTGTATTTTTTGAGATAAAATTTTCTTGGTTATTGGATTATAACTTTAATTCTTATCAAATATTAACATATTTGTGACCAATATTCACTTTACTTGTCAATTTACACATCTTCATTATTGTCTTATTTTGCATCTTTTTCTGATTTATTTTTGTTGGGCTTATTGAAGATTTAAATTAAAAAAAGATCGTACTCTTTCTTAGACAATATCGTATCATGTGGTATCAGAATAAGGTTAATGTTTAAATATCCTCTTTATCTTATTTTTCTCTCATATTAAAAAACAATATTTTATCCAATTTCATTAAGTTTTAATGTTTCATGTCTTTCATTTAAATTGTGTATTTCTACATTTGAACCCTAAAAAGGATCTATTTCTTTATTTTTCTATTAAGTGTAGTCCGAATTAACTATTTACCTTCATCTTGCATGAGTTTTTCTTTTTTGTTGAACTGTAATTGAAAAAAAAAAACAAACTTGTGTAAGACCCAGGAAAATTCAATGTAGTAAGAGGATAATGTGAACATGTTAGATGTTTATTAATAAGAAAAAACATGTTTTACACAAAGGTTGTGTAGCTCAATTGGTGAAAGCTCTTCCGTCAGTTAAGCAAAAAAACAAGAAAAATATTGGTTTAGAGGAGAAATTAGTTTCTAAAACTAATCAATTGGTTTTTATTGGATGATGGTTTTTTAGGAAATAGGGTTTGGTAGGCGGTTAAGGTATAAGGTTAGGCTGAGCATAAGTTATTAATAAAAAAAGTCTTAAGGTGAAGTTTGGCATAAAAACACTACTACTGTCATGAGTGAGAGAGAGTTGTATTTTCACTTCTTTGTTTTGTCAAAGAGGGAGAGGAACGTGTGCATGGAGACCAAATAGAAGGAGTCTTTGTGATGTGTTCTGTAACCTTAAAGCCTGTAATTTTTGTTTGTTTAAAAGGTATGGGGAATTATCCTTATTGGTTGTTTTGTATCATTCTAAATGTTTGTTGTGATGTTTGTAAGGGATGTTAAACCTTGGTGTGTTTGGACATGAATATTTCTTTGATGATTGTTGTATGTAGATTGGGTAATTATTAGTTGTGATCAATGTCATATTGTATTAGATAAATTTAATTATGGTGTTTAAGAGTTTATCAGTGCAGTGGAATCAATCCAGGTATGTAATGACTTTGGTATAAGAGTTGTGATTTGTTGTCAATTGGTCTGTTGTGATATTGAAACGAGGCTACAAATGAAAGGTATTTTAGGTTCAAAAACTAAGGGTTAATTGTTGTTTTTGGAGGCAAAATTATTGGTGCTAGAGTGGTCATGTTTTCTTTGGTTCAAAGTTTGCAATTTGGTGTATTAAAAGGTTTTAAGTTTTGGAATTTTCTTTTAGATAGTGTGCGTTGGAATTGTAAGTGCAGTGGTTGTTCCCAACATTATTAGTTGGTGTAATGAATGTTTTAAATGTCCAATTAGTTTTAACATGGAAACTTATATTTGAGAATATTTCTTGATGTAGTGTTGTGCTTTAAGCGTGTACCTAAGTTGTTAGACGTTGGGTCATCAGGAGACGCTAGGTTGTTTGTGGGTGTAAGACGTTGGGTCATATGGGGACACTGGATCGTTTATGGACGTTGGTTCATCTGGAGATGATGCAACTGAGTTGTTAGACATTGGGTTGTCTGAGGTTGTAACTGAGTTGTTAGAAGTTAGGTTGTTTTGAGGACGTTGGGTCATCTATAGGTGTAACTTAGTTGTTAGACAATGGGTCGTATGAGGGTGTAATTGAGTTGTTAGACATTAGGTCGTCTAGGGATGTAAGACGTTGGTTCGTCTATGGGGGGTAAGACGTTGGTTCGTCTAGGGATGCTAGGTCATCTAAGGGTGTAACTGAGTTGTTAAAATAGGTTGTCTGGGGGTGAGGACAAAATGTTTGTCTTGTGATGATATATGTGTCAAGTTGTTGTGATGACTTTGATGTTTTATGAATGTTATGCCTTGTTGCAGTACTTCGTAAATATAGGGTTGTACCTTTCATATTCCAAGTCAATAGAAAGGTAGTTACAATTCCTCTTTGAAAGGTATAAAGATGAATCTCTTTATCTATAAGAGACCATATAAGAGATAAAGTTTGAGTACTGCCCTCTCTTCTTCCGGTGGGATAGAAAGGGAAGAATGTCTCGCCCAAAGGTTTATGACTTCAGTTTAGTATAGTGCCCGTTGTGAGCAATTGTGGAGTTTTACTCATATGTCCTTGAGAAGCACGAGAGATAAGTCCAAAGTTGTAGTGGAAGATAACTTGAATTGTCCTATTTTGGTGAACATGTTTTGTACGGTAGAGAACGTTTTGGGTATGCTTATAATTGAGATGACCTTGTTTGATGTGTCATATTGATAGCATTAAATGTTTATTGTTTATGTTATTTTATTGGATGATTATTCTGGCAACTCATCCTTATTGTTTATGTGTGTTGTAATAATTGTATAACTTGTGTTGTTATATGAGAGCATATGTTCTTATATATGTCTCTACTGATGAGTAGAGTGACAAGATGCTTCAGAAGTGCTTGAGGAATTTTCTAATTTAGGTTTTTAAACAGTTCAAGTTAATTTTGATGTAATGATTTTGGATTAATATTAAGAAGTACTAATTCATTTTGTTTTGTTTTGTTGCCTAAGGAAAATTTGTTCACCAAGAAGCAGTGGCACCAACAATGGAAGAAGAAATCATGATATTACCTAGGAAATATTTATTCATCAAGGAATAATGACAACAAAATGAAAGGAAAAAAGAATGATAGAAAAGGAAGACATAAGCTCGAAATTCGATGAATTTGTGTTTGATACTCCATGACCTTCTTTATCAATCACTTCAGAAAGTCAAAGTCATTTTATTAGTTTGGACACAAACTTAAAAAATAGTTGCACATGAGTTAGTTTGTTTGTCCATTCCCAGCCAAACTATGGGTAAGGATGCAAGTTTGGAAATATAAGTACACGAGTTAGCTTACTTGTCTATCTATAAGCAACTTAAGGACAACCAAAGTCATACTTATAGTTTGAGTGTTTATTTTGGCAATATTGTTTTGAATTTCTTTGAGTAGTGCATCTTTAATTTTAAAATGTTTGATTATTTGTGCTAGTGGTTATTTGATCTTAGAGGTTGACCTTTAAAGTCTTTGATAATAAGAGATTGGCCTTCCAAGATCCCAGTCTCATTTTAGTATAATTTCTATTTTGGATTATTTTATATTTCTGTGTTTGATTTATGTTTGCATGTGATCTTTTAGACCTTGAGTCGAATTCTTTTCAAAGAATGATAAAGAATCCTCAAGTGATACAAATTTGAAAACAAATTCTATTCAAAAAGAAGATATGAGAGAGGATTATCTCATGAACATATATGAGAATAATTTAAGGAAGAACATTTGTAATTCAAATAATCTATAAAAAAAGTTAAAGATCAATTTTAATCTTATAATGTTTCTCGAAAGGAACTTAAAACAATATCAAGACCAGGAGCACAATTGAAGAATAATGTAAGAAATCAAATAAATTGTGATTTAATTTTAATTTTACATAATATTAAATCTATTGGACAAATAGGTCTCATTAGGGGAAAGTTTATATCTATAATTTTTTTATTTTATCTTATTTTTTATGTATTTTGGACTCACTAATGTTTTCATTATGCTGTGATTTATTTTTATTGTGTCTTCAAATTTAGAAAAAATATTTTTTTTGTTTTTATTATGAGGATTCAAAGTTCCCAAATACATTTTAGGGTTAAATATGTTTTTAGTCCCTAAACTATTGGCCGTTTCTGGTTTTCGTCCCTCTTCCAAAGTAAGGTACAATTTGGTCCTCATTCTTTAGAAAAACGTTCGTTTTAGTCCTCAAAATTTTGTTTTTAGTCCTCGTTTTAGTCCTCAAAACGTTCGTTTTTTCGACTAAAACGAACGTTTTTTAAAGATTGAGGACTAAATTGTACCTTACTTTGGAAGAGGGACGAAAACCAAAAACGGTCATATTTAACCCTACATTTTATTTAGAAAGAGGTCATAAAAGAGTGATTGAGGAGAATTTAGAGGATTTGAAAGTAAATTTTTTTGTTATTTTTTTGAGTGGATTTGGAG